ATACAATTTATTCTACTTTTTTTGGCCGATCATGCTGATCCTGGATATTAAACTGGAACGGTTTTGATTAATTTTTTCCTTCATCCTGCCTTGATTTTTATTTTGCAAAGTGCAATATGTCCGGAAAGAGCGATTGAATGAAGCAACAGAAAGTTCCCGGTCGGTTGGATAAGAGAAAAACTGCTAAAAACTATTAACGCAGTTGAGGATAACATTTTGCTAGAGAATTGTTTGAGAAAAAGTAACGACTTTTCGTACAATATCCGGCACAAGGAGTGTTTGTGCGTTCAGTTTCGTCAGGGTGGATGTTGCTCAAGGACTGTACGAAGAGTAAATCTGTCTGCTTTTCCAAGATTGTGTTTTTCTCTCCTTCTTTACCAGCATCCGTTGCGTCTCCTTCTCTGTCTTTCTCTCGTGAAGAACAAACCAAACTGCTACTTGCTTGAATGGGCTGCAACATTCCCCGTGAACCACAGAAGAGTTGAAATAGAACGCTGGACTTACCCGCGTGCCGTGCACGAGGCTTGTAAACATTGAACTTTGCTAATGGAATACTCTTGCAAGGGCAGGACACCATAAGTTTACGACGGGTATAAAGTACCCTTAAACGTTGCTGGTGAAAGCTATAGATGTACAACAACGCTACTTCGGTACATATGTAACCGCCGTGTTTGCTCGAATCTAGAGCTCGACTCGCTGACCCGATTCATCCCAACGACCCGGCCCTCACAGCGATACAACATAATAAAATACGCAATTTGAAAATACTAATTTTATCAGGGTAGCAAATAAACATTCCTCAAATGATATCGTCCAGGCTTTTAACTCACATTTTTTCCAACTGTCCATCCAACTGGTGAGAGTAGTTTTCCAGAAAAAAGGTTTTTCTAATCCGGTCGGAGAAAGCAAACAAATTTGCTGTTAGTGTTTGTTGTTGTGAAGTGCAATCTTGCTTATCCTCACCCGCACGCCTCGTGCTCTTACGATACTCTCAATTATTTGCTGTCTCACCCACTCACCCAAAAATTAGATTTCGCTAGCTCCACTCCACTACTGCCATTATCCGAGGTTTCATGATTCGGATATGGTCATCATCGTCTCCTCTCTTTCCGGCAGGGAGAGAGAGTGGGCACTCCGAGTCCATACTTTCCACTCAACCAGAACCCAGTGACAGGTTGTCAGGGCTTTGTGCAACATCTCAATTAAAAGTGACCGCAACTCATGATCTTTTCTCGGCAAATGTGCCATTTAGTTGATTCAAAAGCTCTCACCCAACTACAAACAAACTCCACTCACTCGGATCCCTACGTAGCAAAAGTATGTAGCGGAGGAGTGAAAGCAGTGCCCAGCGAGTTTTCCTTTCTCCCAACTTGCAAAACCAGCTGCACAGAACCCACCACTGTCTGCAGGCTTAGAAGCACGTTTCCGAAATTGAGTTTGTCTCCGCTCCGGCAGCATGATGCTGGCCAAGGGAACCCTTTGATCTTATTGGAGTGCTGTGTGTATAAAGTTACAACGGAAATTATTTTCTTAGTTTGAAAATTGAATCCCGGGATGCAAATTGGACATATTATGCAACACAAGATGACATAATTTTGACAATGCTGCTGAACTAATAGAATTTTTGTCGACTTTGGAGGAATCATCGCAAGATATGTTCACACAAGCGGAATTAATTCGATCATGTTGAGCGTAACATTCAAGCTGAAAAATCATTCTCTTTTGTCCTAATGATTTTAAAAGAGGATCCGTAATTTTGCAAATCTTGTTAGAATGGCCGGAGGCATTGGAAAACAGGTCTGTTTGTGTGTGGCATTTTAATATGAATGTAAGTCAGGAGGTTGTTTGTTAAGCACGTTATGAAATATTTTCCACGTGAAATGCTGCCCTTTGCCCTTTCCTGTGCTTATCGAATATATGTATGCATTTATATAAGTGCGTGGTCTTTAGTCCTGCAAGTGACCATAAGATAACGGATAGACGAATGATGATATAAGCCGTATATGCTTTCGGGAGTGAAAGCATACATTCGTGGTGCTGGTGGAGGCGGCGGAAGCGAAATGAAAATGTTAGCATTCATCCGCCTCGAGCGAGTGATATATCTTTGCAATTGTGTTTTGACAAGAAGTTTCACATCAACGCGATGTCTTATAAAGAAGAAGTTGAGAAACAGTGGTGCTCTGGAACCCATATTGGGCAGGAGGATGTCCTATCCTGTCCTCATCCCCTGTTTGGCAAGCATCACTTGTGACATAAACCAATAAATAGAGAAGCATGAGTGGATTTTGAGGTGGTGGTGGTGGTGGGAAACAAGGAGCAGAAATGATTTTTTGGCTTAATCCTTGGCTGAGTTCACCTGCAAGGACTACAACTGGGAGTTGAAGGGCCTATTAACAAAAGGCGCAGTTTAGAATGGGCATTGGAAGAAAATAATAGAATTGTCAGTGTGCCTCAGAAGAAACCGGAGAAGAAAAATACTTCGTCATTCTCCAAGAGCTTAGCTTTGTCAACTTTTTGCTGTTAACTTTGTGCTTTCCCATCATTCATCACTTTCACAGGATATTACTTGGGTCGATCGCACCAACTTTAGACTTCATCCAACATGCTGACGTTGGTAGTTGGTTCCTCATCCCTTCTTCTTCTTCAGTCCTAGCAAATTGCGTCCCAGCGGTTTCCTCTCTCTCCCTCTTTTTCCTCGTGTGCAATTTCATTCAATTTTTCTTCTCCACAAACCTCAAATTTCAATTCAGCCTCAGAATGCTCACTCACAAATGGAGAATTTCTCAAATGTAATGTGCTTGATCGACTCACTCCTGTCATGTAAGTAGAGGTTGGGTTGGTTTATATGTGAAAGGACTCGCTCACCCACTCACTCACTCACACAAGCAACCCACCTCGGCAGGTTGAGGCAAATCAAAGAAGCGAATTAGGAAGGAACATGTTTTTGCGATGAATTGGAGAATTCTGCCTCAAGATATCCAATAAGGGATGAATGAGTTGGACTAAATCACTCCCAATTCTAAACCAACCCAACGTCCCACAAATTTTACGAGCTGAGCGAGCTAATAGAAGTCAACAACTACGCGCTGGATTGCATGGGAAGAAGGAAAACAATTTGACTCTGATGGGTCTGCTGCTGCTTCGCCTGCCTGTCTGTCCCTTTCCCTTCGGCTGACTTCCCTCTGCTGAATTTCCAAACACAAACTTCGCCAACCTACCAACCAATTCGTCCACCATCCATTTCACCAAATTGAGATAAGAAATTCGACGATTTGACTTCAACGGGGCATTACTCTGAAATCGTGTTTTGCATCTCAACAGCCATGGATCCAGCCTCCACAGAGATAGATGTAACGATGAGTTGATAAAGAGTCGGCAAGACCAGTTCTTACGTAGGAGTGGTTCTTGATTAGAAAAAACCTTCTTCTTATTTTCCCTGCAAACGAACGCATCATGCACTCATGCCTGATTCATCTGCTTTCTTCTAAGGTGAAAGCCCACCAAGGATTTCGGCCACTGTCTGCTCAAAATCAGTTTTCTCCATTCTCACGTCCCTACCTAGATACCTACCCATCATGCAACGCTGAACTTATTTCAAAGCAAGAATTGTACAAGTTCAGCAGGCAGACAGGAGCAATGGTGGTCAGCGCTACTACTACGCCATTACTACGACCACATAATATGCTTCATAATTACGGGAGAAATAAGCAGACAAGTTGCTCCGTTGTTGGGTGAAAGTTATGACATCTCTCCAACATCACATTATGACGAGACATGCACACGAAATAAAGTGGTGAACATATGTATGCACATAACATAAGAAATCAACAACCATGCAGTATAACATTGCAATTGCGTGTCTCTGCTTTTCACCACCATGCAGTATGAACTAACTGCAACATTATTTTTCTTATTAAGCCCCCCTTGTTGTCGTGGGTGTATACATAGTACGCCATTAACGTCCTTCATGAGATACTTTGATGCATATTTGGATTTGGTGGGCAATTGTGGCCACAACATGTGAAAAATTTAGGATGTTCTCGAAAAGCGTTCATCTGTACTTGCATAGTCTGCTGGTTGGTGCAAGTTTTGGTGGTATTTGTCACTTAAAGTGGAAATTTTTGAGTCTGAGCATGGATGAAGGAGCATTGCATCACTGCATAGATTAAATGTGGGAGAGAATTTCTTTGCTTATCGTGCATACCTACGTAGTGAGGTATCTAATCCTCCGAGGGAGGCATGTGGCTCGGGATACGTGGTGTCATCCCGGGCCAAGGCTTGGGATCTCGTAGAGTAAAAATTTGTGTGGATAAGTAGGATCTGAATTTTTGATCACAATCACGATAAAAAGCGTGTACGCGGAAAGAAATCTAAATTCCTGCTGAAGGATGAAGCTTGGCGTTGGCGGTGGTGGTGATGTCGATGTGGTGTGTGTATGTATTACCCGTAATCCTGGAAAATGTACGTGCGACGGAACAGATCGTTTTTCCTATTTGCTACACACTTGCACTGCTCTGTGACAATGTATGTATGCATCTCGAGTTTATCCTCTGTTACATGTTTCCCATCTTCGCCATGGATGTATGTATGCATGACATAACAAAGTAAGCATGGCGTTATTGTTCAGGTTGCCGCATCACAGAGTTAAGCGACGTTTCTCTTGTGCAATAAATCGCGATCAAAAAAATGGTATCAATTTCAGAATCGATATTAAATTTTTTTCTGAGATACATATTCGTTCGAATTTTTTTAAATGTTATAAAATATAAATGGTCAATGGCTTTTTATAGCTATGTACAAAATGCGAAAACAAATAATGCAAGTTCTGAAATGTCTCGACTTTCACTTCTATTGGATAACGACTGTATATTTGTTTAATGTGTGTGTTACATAATTTAGCTAAGAATGTGTGCAAAAAATGCAACGTGATACGTTTAAACATTGTACTTTTACTTTACACTTTCACCAAGACTAATTTTTTGCTCTTTTTGTTCTTCCAGCTGGTGGGAGGAGAATTCGACATGGAGCTGAATTTCGTGATCCAGGACGCCCAGAATATAAAGCACATGTTGGAAATGCTAGACCATTGCCCTCCTCATCTCCAGGTACGGGTGACGCACACGATTTCTTAAACAATACTTTTTTTCTAATTTTCAGCACAAACAAAGAAAAAAAACTTTTCCACGTGTATAAAATTATCATTGAATCCGCCAACAAACTGGAATTAACAGTGTCGGATTATAATAGTTTCCACCTACTGAATAGAATTTAGAATGAAATGCATTAGTTGAAAAAAAACTAATCGGATTAATGTAAAAATCTCGGAAAATCTGATGTCTAAAGGATTGTTGAGAAAATAGTAAAAAGTTTTAGAAAGCTAGAAAGTGTACTTTCTCACTGAATGAGGAAAATATATTTTGGATGGTTTCCATTTGCTTTATTTCAATTTGGAGAGAGGAGAGAAAGTGGTTCTTTTTAAGGGGCTTGTTAATTTGAAAAGTTTCAGAAAATATCGAGGGCCTTACATACATAACAAATGTGCTCCGAATGAAGGATCCAATCGCAGTTTTGCGACGACGAAACGAATTTGTAGTTGAAAAGAAAGTGATTTAAATAAAAACCGGGATCCGTTCGTTTTTAATCTTTCCAATTAGTGTGTTAATTTGGCACCTTATCCGTCACTCTGGTCTCTCTCCGCTTTTGTCAGTAGAAAAAAGATCATACATTGGAAAAGTAAAAGTAATTTGAACTATTTACAGAGTTTTTAATCGGTCTTCTTTAATTTCTTTCATCTCTTTTTCCCTTTCAAAAAGTCCATTCAAAAAGTGCAACTATATGAACTTAGGATGTATAATGGAGCACAGTGTGTGCATTGAGGAGACAAAAGCTACTCTTCTCTCTGTATACTCTTTTCACTCATTACTTTCTCTCTCTCTCTCTCTCTGTTTACTTGGACTTGAGCAAAGAGAAATTGAATCGCGTTTAATGAATTGATTTCCGAGTGCTTCGAGGAGACGATGTGAAGGTCTGAGAGAAAAACGAGGAAATTTATAGAGAAAGTGTTTTTGCTTAAATCAGTTGAATGGGGTACACTTGGAAGATGTCTCAGATTAGATGAGAGGAGTAGCACTTAACACCAGATCTCAGAGGAGACCTCCCTCACTCACTGCTCACGGGCTGAGGCATGGTCATCAGCAGCAGTGCGGATGAGAGAGAGAGAGAGGAGAAGAAGAGGGATGAAAGTATCTCCCAAGCCGACAACAAGGAGTCTTTTCGAAATGGTCGCCATGTCCAGAATAAATTCTCGAAGCTCGAAATTCTCTCTCTCTCTCAGAACTTGGAATTCTTCCTTTCTTGCAACAGTCGTCAAATTTTTTCTTGCATGACTTCAAATTCCGACCATCATCAAAAACACTGCACAAATACTTGGTCTAGTTTTTTATGATTATTTGGCTTCCTTGTCAATAAAATTGTGCATAAAAAGGCTGGAGGAATGTTGTGTCGGATATTCGAATCATGTGGATTTTGTAGAAACCACACTTGAGACGAGGCCCTCGTTCACTTAATCTCCGTCTCTGAAAGGGAATGGGTTTCACTGGCAGGGCTGGGATAAGACAAGATAATTTCAGAAAAAGTTGGTGCCCACTGCGTCCGTCGTCCGTGAGTGTGAAAGAGACGTTTGGGCGGTGGTGTGGGAAGAGTAAGAGTAAACGAAGGAGGCAGTTGAATGGTGAAAGTCTGGAAAGTTAGCCTCGTAATGAAGATGCATGTCTTTCAACCAGGCTCAATGTGACCTCAACTTTCTCCCCTTTCCCCACCACCAACTGAACCAAGCCAGAAAACAAGAAAACGAAACGCATGCACGAACTGTGGCCAAATATGCAACGCACAGAAGGCAGAGAAATAGCAGACTTAAATATTTACTTGTTCGAATAGTCCAATAATACATACATCTTTGGGTATCTTGTACTAAAATTTGTTGAAAAACGTGACAAGCAAAAGTTAATACGGAGTTGATTCAGCAAGAGATGAGAAATAAAGTGGTGTTTGTTTGCACAGGGCACGCCTGAAAGTTTGAATACCGAATTTGCGAGTATTGTCATGTCTTTTATTTTAGATCCTATACGTACAATAATAAGAGTGTCGTTGTATGTACAGCGACTGATTTCTCGACTACCAACCAACACAATCAAATGATTCGCACCATGGGGGACTTTTCACTTCCCGTCGTTTTGCTTCATTTAATTAACAAGATATAAGATTAGCTTCTTCTCCACGCCTTCTCCCTCTTAAGACATGATGACTGCCTAATGGAGTTGCTTGTAAGTGGAAAGTGATACAACCAGCGAATCCCACTTTTCTGTTTTAGATGAAGAGGAGAAAAAGAAGGGTTCGTCCATTTACGTCATTCATCATGGCATGTGACCATTTTTTGTACACTCTTTGTCCTTGAACAGACTTTCTCTTCATGTATTATTCACGTAGATGCGAGAGGTCTACGTGTGTATGTAAATTATGTAAATAAGTTTGGACTTTATAATATGTCACTCTTATTTTTTAAGTTATTTTAACTTTCAGTAAAATTTTATTGCTTCCGTATCATTTTGAGGGCAGCATTGACTGTATTTTGTATGACAATGCGTAGTCTGGGACCTCCAATTTTCTATTGACTTGATACGTACAGAAGTCGTACGACTCTGTATGCGAGCGTAGTCAGAAGTACATATTACGTCGAGTTGGTTGGATGAGAGTTGCACAACACACATCTTGGCCACCATTTTATTCCTTTTCCATTGATTAAAGTCGGCAAAGTGGTCCCTCGCAGACGACTAGTGTTGTAGTAGAGAAAGTTGGACTTATTAGATGGTTTGTGCGGCGTTGGTCACAGAAGTGTGTGGCAATAAGTCTTTGATCCGATAATGGAAGAAGGAGAAGAAGAACACGGCCTATTTTTGTCTTTTTTCTCTGAAAGGGTTAATGGAATTTAAACTTTTTCATTAAATTGGCCAACTGCATCAAGAATATTAAATAAAATAAGGTTGGTTGGTTGGTTGGTCGATGCTGGCTCATTCATTTTCCTTTTTATTTTATTCCAAGTGTGCACTTTCTCCATGCTCTCTTGAGACAAGGGCCAAGACATGAGTAAGAAAGAACTTTGGCTAATTTCCAACCAGTTTATGACTGTAGCAGTTTTTCTGGAGGAGGAGCAGCAGCACGTTATGAGTTTTTAGTGTTGTTTCCATCTGACAAACCCGTCGTTTCGCGGCACCAGCATCATTGGCGAAAGTAATGAAACACCATTTTGATTGAATCAAACGACATAATAATCTCATGCATCCGTTCTTCGAGCATTGTTCTGCCTTACGTGGTAAATTGAACGCGAAACTGTTACTCCTTGGTAACTTACGACTATGGTGACCTACTCTACGGTGACCCTTCAATCGTTCCCTACCGAATGATAATGTAGCTATGATAATGTTCCAGTGAAATGAGGATGAAATGATGGGGGGTGGATTTAGTGACTCCAGACGAGAAGAAGTAAAGTTCAGGCCTGGTCAACGCAAACGCTAGTTCTTTATTCGGAAATGCCCAATTACAACAATATATCGTCACCCTAATTACAAAACATTTGTCCGGTTTTGTCGTTAGGTCGACGCCGCACGTATCCCGATTTGCCATGCCGGAACATTACTACTATAAAAATGTGAGAGTGGAGATGGCATACCGATCCTTCCGTCACAAATGATGGCACAAAGTCAGCGGAGGCAGTGGCACTTCTAGAACAAAGGATTTTAATGGGTAACCAAACACTTGAGATAGATTGAGTGTTATGATGAGTGCAGGATGAGATAAAGCCTGCCTCCGCCTCTTGTTGCTGCAATGGTGGAAGGGATGTTAATAGATTTAATTTCACATGAAGTGGATTATGACAAATCACGAGAAGTGAAGTAAACAATGTTAATGACGACGACGGCCTTATTATTATTGTTGGCGGAGGCAGGAAGAACTGCTAATGACTTATTGTTGAAAGCGATTTGTTGTTACTCAACGGGGATGATGGCTCATCTTCAGTTTGTGGTGGCTCTTCCACTTTATCGAAAATCCCAATCTCCTGATTGCTCTGTTGAAGCTGGGTTTGTTCACGGAGAAAACTGACATGTTCCCAACTCACAACGGAGGAAATTCTAACCATAAGCCTTTTGAGTGGTTCCATGCATTATCCATCACCTGCACAACGAATTTAACAAGGCAGTGGACGCCAAGTGGCACACGGAGAGACGAAGAAGGAGGGTGTGAAGAACACAGAAAGGTTGGCAAAGGTGACAGAAAAGAGCCTCCAACCATTTCGGGTTCAAAACTCGACTGCGTACGTACGTAGGTGTATCTATGTATTTTTGCTCACTTTTTTATTTCCATGCGGCATTTTATATGTAAAGTAAATATGTGTATTTTGATCAAGGCACGGTACACAAGAAAAGTACATATCGGCTGACGTCTGATATTTGTCTTGTTCAAAGTTCAAAAATGGTTGAAATAGAAGGAGGCTTAAGGTTTGACTTTTCTTACGGAGAGGAAGATGTAGGTCTAGTCTACTGAGGAGGGGAGGTTGTGTACTATCAACTCCCGGATCTCGATGCCCTTTGGATATTTTGTAGTGTCCCATGAATGTACAAGAACCCTGAAGTGGTTTGATGCCATGGCCACATTTGTGCCCGCCACACCCACTCAAAGGTGCCCAAAAATCGCTTTCACTCCAGCTTTCACTCATTCAAAACCACGTCAAAAATCCAATTTTACTCCGATTTTCAAATTTCTTTCACCATTATACTCCTAGATAGTTGCTTTTTTATTTCCAACATCAAACTCAACTTTCTGAAATTCTTAGTATTTTTAAAATTTAAAATTCTGAATGAGCATTATTGTAGTAGTCAACAAAACAAATTATGCCTGCGAAATAATCATCCAAAAAGTTGAGTTTGATGTTGGAAATAAGAAAGCAACTATCTGGGAGTATTATGGTGAAGGAAATTTGAAAATCGGAGTAAAATTGGATTTTTGACGTGGTTTTGAATGAGTAAAAGCTGGAGTGAAAGCGATTTTTGGGCACCTTTAAGTGGGTGTGGCGGGCACAAATGTGGCTATGGAATCAAACCACTTCAGGGTTCGTGTACATTCATGGGACACTACAAAATATCCAAAGGGCATCGAGATCCGGGAGTTGATAGTACACAACCTCCCCTCCTGAGTTTTTTTGGGTAAGTTGTGATGTAAAAAGAAGGGGTAGTAGATTTTCTGGAGTCAGGTGAGGACTGTGTCGTTTACGGGTGACGTTGTTGTTGGGTGACCATTTGCGGTGGCAGGGACCTGAAGTGAGTGAAATGAAGGATGAAAGTGGAGTGAAAGACGTAGGCTCTCCTGGGAGGCAGAGACACTGCCACTTGCTCTCTCGCTTGTAATGAAAAGGAAAAATTTGATAAATTTACGTGCCATAACCTGCCACATGATTTGAACCTCGTTGCTGCTGCGGTTGGCTTTCTCGCCTGAATAGAAGACAAAGCACATAAACCACTCACTTTTTTTAGAAAATTCTTTGAGGATTTATGGGTTTTTAATCAATGGAGAGTGACTGATCCAAATCAAAAGAAAAGTGCTGGGAAAAATTTCTTCGGAAATCGAAACTTGACTCTGTATTCTTCTTTCTCTCGCGTTTTGAGATATGTGCAACGCCTCTCCTCACGTATTCCGTTACAAAATAAGTCATACGGCTCTTTGTAGTATAGAAATGCAATTATTTACTTCACCTGACTCGTAGAATTTTGTTACCGTATGTCCCTTTTTTACAAGGACGAGGAATGTTGTACTTGGCTTGTTCTCTCGCGTAATAAATAAAAAAGTCTACTCCATACGGTCCAACCTCGTTAGGTGGTAGGATAAGAATGGAAACTATGTATGTACCTACATACATACGAACGACTATGTATGTAACTTACTTTTTCTGGGTCCACACTTTACAATTGGTGGCATTACTGCACATATGTGACCTCGGTACGAAGAATCTCTTCAAGTGCTGGTGGGATTCCTGTTTGACGTGTCGAGTATAAAAAGAGGACAATTGAAGCCAACTATCTGTGCGGGATTAGATCTGGAGATCATAAGGAGAGAATGGATGGAGTGTGTAGGTGAGTGATTGAAAGTAATAAAGAATGGAGACGTATAGCCTTTATGGATAGAGGACCAATTGGATCAGATTCACTTGTCCTCCGCCTTCTTCTTCTTCTTCCTCCTCGACGGAATCTAATCTTGCAGTGCTGAGGGAGAAAGACTACCAAGTTCTTCCGATTTCATTCCATTATTGTTCTTCTATTTGCACCTCTACGTCTTCTTCTTCCTCAATTGCACTGATATCTCGTACTGGCGAATTCCAGCCACGATATCAATGTGGTGGCAAATGTCATAAGCAAACTGACCGATCCGATTGTGAGTATTATGTACATCCATCCCACAGTAGTCTCACTACACCCCACTGCTTAGAGACGGTGAAAGCAGAGCAAAAGTTAGCCAAAGAAATACATAGAAATTGAACTTGTAGGATTCTACATTATGCTGATTGTAGTCGTTGACAATACCTGGAAGAAGATGGTTGGGGAGAAAATAAATTCGTCCACAACCACAAATTTCGTTTGGCCTTTGACAATCAAGGATATTCTTCTCAATTCATCATTGGATGGATGCGAAGTAATCTAGTTGCATGATCTGAAGACCCACAAGTTGTTATTCCGTTGGTGGAATTACAGAATTATTGTATTTCAAAGGATTCGAAAAATTGTAATTACGTTACGTACTGCATTACTCTGACTTCAACAATCAAGCCAAATCATGGGAAGATTGCTTTCGTTCTGGTAATCTCACTCCTCCGCAATTTCTTTCAGTCATGTCAAATTGAGTTCTTTCAAATGCTGTCTTCTTATTTTTTAAAGAATCTTCAGACAAACTGACAAACATGTTACATATTATTTACAATGTTTCATGGTTAGTTAGAGATTGGAGAGATCTGGCTTGTAATTAAATTGGTAAAAAAAACGTTTATACGTCCATCACTGTTGTAACTAGAATTATTATTTTTTGGTCCAATATCATCACGAAGCAATGGTTTACGTGACGTCTTAAAGTGAAGATTGAATGACACACGAGTTGATGGACATGAGATTGGGTTGGCGAGTTGCGAAAAAGGGTCTGAAGGCGAACATCTCTCTCTTTCTTCGAGGGAATGGAAAGAGAAACAAGCCCTTTGACAGACTATGAATGTATGTTTCAGTTCGTTGCGGACGATTGGTTTAACATCAGCACTTTTTCAAGCTGACGATATATAAGCAACCTACATCGCATTATAGTCCTGCCCAGCCTGGATTGCTGACTTGTTTCCTTGCATCATCATCATCATACAAGCACACTGCAAAAAATCCGGTGTAAATCGTTACCGTGTAGTGTGCGTGGCTAGGTACACTGCAGGGTTATAATGTATCTACCCCGTGGTAATAAAATTGTCACCAACCAGTGACAATTTATCATGATGCGACAAAAAATTTTCACCGTGTGGTGACAATTTACTACCATGGGATGGCAAATATTATCACCAATCGATGTAGCACACAGCACGGTGACGATGTACATCGTATTTTTTGCAGTGCAGATTTTCCTCTTCTTCATTTTTCTCCCAGCCAGGTTTATGGAGTGAAGACTGGAGAGAGAGAAAAATGAGGCATGGAAGAAAGTCTCATTTTTATGGAATCCTTTCAATCGCTATTTTGCAACTATCTTCTCATCTCGACAGAAATTATTAGCACAACAAAATCACTGACCAATTTCGAAGAAGAAAATAAAAGATTTTTTATGATGGCGTTGACAACCTAATGTTGAAAAGTTATTTTCTGCTAGATCTGTCAAAGTCTTAAAGGTGGTGTTGGTGAGAGAGAGCGAGTCTATCTCCATTAAAGAAACGGGGCAGAAGATATTGATTTTATCTGTCTCTCACAATTGTGCCGATTGATCTTGGTGACACAGGCACCATTATTATTTCCTCTGCTCTTGATGCTGGATCAAACTCACTCACCTTGTCATCTTGATCTTCTTTTTCGTCGTCTTCTTCCCCTCCTCTTCTTCTTCTTATCTCTCGAGCTCCTTGGCTGCATTCCATTTGTTCAAACTCAAGAGGAGATCGCAAAATAAGAATTTCGGGGGGTTTTATCATGTTGTTATTGTCCTTCCCTTTGTGATTGGAATCCTGGAGCAATATATATCCAACATAGTTTGGAAGACGATTGTATAATTCGATATAGATTGGCTGGTGCTCAATCAAGATTTTTATCTCAACCGTATTCCCAATTGGCAGTGGTGGTGGTGAAAACGGCAGAATAATTAGTTTGGCACAAGCAGTTGTGAAAAGGAGTCGATGCATGAATACTCTCCCCTGGTCCGGGAGATATATGTGCGTATGTATAATTTGGGAAAAGCATAACTGCACAGATTCAACAATTATATAACGTGCTGTTATGTATTTTCGATAAATAATTCAAATTTAAACATCAAAGCTGAGTTAGTGATACCTGAGAACTAAGCTTGTCCACATTTTCACAGGAACACGAGGAGGAGGACATGCACACTTATGCATGTTCTTTTAACGGCCTTATATAACGGTCGGTAGTGTTGCGCCTGCTTGATATTTAATATCTCTGTTTCTTCTCTGATCTTGCTCCAGGTTGTTATGAAATGATTTTTGGAGATAAACTTCCCAAAAAATCGATAATGTTCTTTGAGCTTAATTGACGGGGGCTTGCTCCGTTGTTCTGCGAGCTAGTGAAGGTTTATCTTAAATTCCACTGAAGGATGTACACGTATTTATAAAGACTTGCAAACCTTATTACTTGAGAGCAACCTTATTACTTACTTGAGCATTTTGTGAAAGCCAGGTTTCAGACAATGCCATGAGTCGTGGTTGGTGGTTGTGCAGCATTATAATGAACTTGTAATAATGCAATAGTTGCGTGGATCCTGAAAGAATGAGAATAACAATGACCTGAGGAGAAACTCGTCGTGCCAACAAAAGGCTGGACCCAAACCAGTCAAACTTTGCAAGAAATTTGACTTTAAAAGCCCATTTACGTCTCATTAACTGCATTTCTAATGACTCAACTCCTCATTTTTCACTCTCATATAGGCAAATTGACGTTAAAATGCTGGGAAACTAAAATGTCATAAAATAAAACCACGGGAAAAAGAGTACATTTGCATAATAAAAAGTGACGGAAGGAAACTTTAGACAACTCGGCAAGTTTCCTTGTGCAAAGTAAAATTCAAATTGAACTACTCAACCCATCTTTGTTTTCACGTTTTCATGAGGCAGTGAATTTTGCTCGAACCTTTCCTCATTTTTCCACAAATGACACCTCTCTCCACCTCTTTTTTTATTCTGTCCTCTCAGCAAAATAACCCTGAGAAAATTTAGCTGGGCACATCTTTTTCCAAATGGGAAACACATTAGATGGGGGAAATAACCGTCTAGAAATAAATGTATGAGACCCTCATCACTTTTTTCCAATCGTCGCCATCCTTTCACTATTCGTACAAACAGTTAAATTTTTAAGAAACATTACATTTTTCACTCCATTGTAATAAATTTCTTATTTTAATTTCAGGCCGAAATTTGGAGCGTGTTTATTGCAATTCTTCGAAAGAGTGTACGAAACCTACAAGCTTGCACCGAAGTTGGATTGATCGAGCACATTTTGCATCGTCTCCCCCACGCAGAGCCGGTTGTTGCAGGTAAGCGCGCGTTTATGCATTATTTCCTTGTTTGGAAAGTGCCTATAGGCGGATTAAAATATTACTGAATAATGATGCTTGCTAAACCTTTTGACATTAATAAACTGCTTTTGCCTGGTTTTGAACGCAAGCTTGCTTGCTTCTGCTTGTCTTCGCAATGTTCGTATAATCAATTCATTCAGCTCATTGAACAGACGTAGTTTCGTTTCCTTTCTTTTTATTTTTATATTGCTTCATTCATATTGTTACGAGTAGGAGCTTAGTCGCCGAGCAGAGCACATGCATGGACTTACATGAGGAGAAGAGTTGTTGGAAATGACTAGAATTTCCGATTTTACTGACACAGCGAAAGCCAAATCTTGATATTTATTTGTATGACATACGTTAAAGGTGCATATAGCGTGTATGTATAGTTGCTCCATCAAACACAAGTATGCATTGGGTTCAGTGAAGGATTATGTGAACGATGATGATCGTTTTGATCCTAGGAGGAAACAGATCAAAGCTGGAAAGTGTACAGCCTCTCCATTATAATTTCCTCTATGGAATCGATACAGCAGTCAGTTTTTATTGCTCTTGTTGGCAATCCCCTTCTTCTTAAACTCTTATCCAAGGCAGCAAAATTTTGTATTAAAAAATTTAATGGCGTCTTGTTTTCTTCTTCGTCGAGCTACAAAGTTGTTCCCATGTTGCCATCTCAGCGGATGAGTGCAGCATAGCAGAAGCAATCATAGTTAGTGGTTGTTGTTGTTGGGCACTTTCTGATGATCGAAAATGAACACAACTTTTCCCCAACTGTCACAGCTACTGTTGATGCTTTGGATCAAAAAGTGTCTCCCAATTGTTACACTACTTCATAACCAATGCACAATTTTAATCACAAATTTTAGTATTCTTCTCGAATCCGTATTGCGTATACTCCTTCAACTGCATGGTTTTTAGAGAACCCATTTTGTTTACTGGGCCTACGCCATGACGATGAACAAGACAAGAGGAGCATCCCAGAGTATTCAGCGCCACTGACGCAGAAGACAATTAGTAAAACAGGACACGATCTCTGAAGTTCCTGGAGGCAGTTGAACAGATTCCCCATTCATTTGCAACAATCCTTCTTCCCTCCAAGAAGAGAGAAAGAAGAAGAAGCTGGACTCAATCCTCGCAGTGACAATTTGTTTCTTCGTCTTCCAAGCATTGTACAAATGTGAATGTATTTTGGAGAGTAGTTCTTGAAGTCTGTGAACGGATTTAACGTTTACTCTCGAGAGCGAGAAAGTAAGTGCAGAAACGGATTTTCGAAAGGAAATTTCCTGATTTCGAGGAGATATAAGGGATCGAGGGGATAATGAGCGGAGACTGGAGACGAAACTCATCTCGGCATGTCCTGAATTGATTTCCTTACCAGTTACCCCTGGATTAGAATTCTAATTTGTTGTTCCTTTTTTTCTTGTTTGGAGTTCGTCCAAGGTGAATGACGCACAACTACTTTATATACTTCGCAGCCTCTTCGGCCACCCGACCAGATCAGATCAGAAGATCTCTTCTTCTTTTTTCCGTGGTGCTGAAAGTGACAAATGCAAATCTTCCACTGCTAGATCCCAGGGCTGGTTTTTTTTAAGGAGTGGAATATGAGGAAGTCACTCAGGGAGGAAGTTAGTTCGAACTACATAAATATGTACATGCTCAAGGCAGAGGAAGATGTATTATTTTCTCTGCAGCGAGAAAGTTAAGTACACAAACACCATGATGACCAGTAATGTGGATGGCATGGTAGTGATGAGAATTACGATGATGTTAAGATTGGGATCAACGAAACCAAGTTATTGTAGAACGCGAGGGCCTGCTGCTGCTGGGTCATTGGTTGAGAGTGGAATATCCATTTGATAATGCTAGATGGATGGACTCATTGCTTTCTCTGTTCTTGTTTACCCTCCCCGGCCCAAAGTTAATTATTTTGTGGGAAGGATGGAAGTCAGACAGTCCGCTTAATTTCTGCAGAGAGAAATACCCAGCCGTGAAAGTTATCCAAGAGAACCACAAATTGACTGAGAATAAATAGTGGGAAAATTGGATGGAAATAAATACTGTAGTACTTTCTCCGCCTACACTCCACCTCGCAGTTCCCCTCTTCCTGTGTCGACTCGGGCTGTGTATGCAATGCGGATAACTCTATTGCTTCACATTTGGAAATGCGTGCGTACTTTGGGGATCAGCCTCGGCGTGGAAATTATAGAAGGGTGAAGACTCCGTAAGCAAGAAGGGGTTAAGCGGAAGTGTTGGTATTTGGAGGAAACGATGATTTCGGAAGTGTGCAAACCTTCCAGGCTGGACCAATTCATCACCTTTTACACTGCGGAGGAGGAGGAGGAGAAATTCTTCTGCTGGGTTTTTGATGAATGTAGAATTTTACATACATCATCATTCTCATTTCCTTTCCTAGACGGTGATGTTATGTGTATGACGACGACGACGAAGTCTTTTATGTCAAAACTGATTTTTTGGGAGACATATTGAGACAAATTTCAGCAATTGTCTATATAAACGAAGGAACCACTGCAGAACAGGGCTGAAAACGCAAAGCATTATTCCAAAAAACTTTGCCATTTCCTGTCTGGAACAAAGAAGTCGAGATTACTATCATTTCCACAAGTCTGGAGATGTTCAGACATTTTTTGACGAGAGTCGTTAGTCAGATGATCCACTTTGTGGTTGAGGACGACATTTTTTCTTACTCTCGGTTAACCAGAGTTTTGACAGCAGCTTTCTCTTGGTGGCATTATAATCTGCCAAGAGGAAGGCGAATAAATCATTGTTTGCAATGACCACGCAAGACGTACAAAGACACCCCATTATTCTAAACCAAAGTAACCTTGCTGTCATTTTTTATTTTGTGTCTCATTAGGTGGCAAATAAATGATTTACATGAAGACTGATCAAACTAGCAAATTTTCCTCCGCTGCGCCTCTCATCCTTCCTTGTTGTGAGTGCATTTGCTGCTTTTTGCAGCTCAACCGTCGCTCGTGTTTATCAAGGAATTCCATCCTTGATCCTACGTTAAGCTCTAGATTAGAGTTACTAAGCTGCATGAAACTTGCGGTGGGAGCTTCTTGCATTTTAGCCAAAGCAGATTAAAGTATTCGCTCACGCTGGCTGTGCAAACAAACAATGCCGTTATCTTGGTTGGTCTGCTGCTTTCTGGAAAGCAGGAAAAGGATTATTGACCTATTTTGCAAAATATATTCTATTGCTTTAAAATCTCCACGGTTTTATATGAATTATCGCACATTACACAGATTTATTTGCTACACATTTTGCGAATAACTTTACAAATATTTGAGTATCCAATTTATACGGCTTCCTCTTGCTATAATCGAAACGACCTTTTTTTATTTTATTTTTTTATTTTTGGTCTGCAATTGATGATCATTCGCAAAGTGTGTGTACAAGGCGTGCGTGCATGCATACACTTATCGCCTTAGCTTTTGGGATTTGGCGTGAACCATCTGGTTGAGACGATCTTGATAAGATTCTAAAGATTTTTTTCTCTGTTGACAGACTTACTGATTGAAATGCTGGGAGTGTTGGCCAGCTACAGCATCACCGTCAAGGAGCTTAAGCTGCTCTTTGGGTCCATGAAGACCGTGGACCGACGCTGGGTAAGATACGTATATATGATTGAGTGCTTTCCCCACCACCACTCCACTCCACTCCATTTTGTCCGTATCTCTTTTTCTCAAAAGAATTCCTCAATAAATCAAACATTATTGGTTGGTTCGTACATACGCACGTACACTAAAAGTCGTAATAATGCTCCCTCCTCCTTTTCTAGGTTTATTATTTGGGTGGTTTATCTTGCGAGAGAAAGCGAATTAAGCTCTGTGTGTTGTACGGCATATTTCTCAAGAAGAAGAGGGCAGTGTTGTCCTTGTCCAAGTTGTGAATGATGCTAGCAGTAGTGCCAAGGTAGTAGTAGTTGGACAATAATAGGACATATGTACTACCTGGCTGCGACGACGACTTGAAGTCAAGCGAGGCAGAACATACTCCTGAAAGTGAAGGAGGAGAAGTGGATACCATGTTTCAAAGAACAAAGAAGTGGAGCATAAGTTGTCCCCAAAAGGTTGGTCTGTGCTGGACGAGTATACCGGAGCAGTTTCTAAAGTCGTCATGAATAACCAACCAAGACGGTGGCTGATTAATGCATAATTACTTTCTGCCTTAATTAGGATTTGGTTGTTCACTTCTAATTAAAACAGACTTCATCTGCTTGCTCCGATCTCCTGAAAACTTTCGCTGTAAGGATTGGAGGCAAAACATAGAAAACCGAGCCTCTGGGGAAGTTGGGTGCTCAAATCACTTGTCCTACTCCAGCTTTTGCATTATCTCACCCTTGCAGCAGAATGTGGCAGGTCTCTCTCTCCCCCTCTTTCTGCCGGTCGGTGGAAAGGGAGGTTGTGTGACTTGCTTGCCCGTCGTATTATTACGGGATGAAGAATACAGTAAAAAGACCTTTGTAAAGACGAGTTTTACTATAATTAGACAATCCTATTATACATTATTATCCAGCATTCTCGTACCAGCAACAGTACTAAATACCCTGATAATAATAATCACACGAAACTATGTACATATGCAGGCATGTCGTACATAAGGTCTCTGGAAGCGGGGGATTAGCTATATTTACTAAACAATCATCTTATCACACGAGGGGTCGTGTTATTTGTCCAGAACAATAATTCCAATTCCTCCCCCTTCCAATTACTCGGTGTCAACTGGCCACCTTCAAACCAGGTGAAAAGGGAGGAAAAAGAAGTAAGGGTTCTTTTTCCGGTCGCGGTAAATGAAAACGTCAAAGAAGGCTTTCTTCCTCTTTCCAAGGAGACTTCTTCTCACTTCCTTCCCAAAAGGTTTCCCCTCTTTCCGAGAGAAAAACTTATTCTTCTTGAGGCTTTGAGGTTTAGCAGAAATCTAGGCATTTGTTAATTTTGTAGCTTGTTCCATCCACTTCTGGCGAACAAAAACGCCACGGACTTTAATTACTGTTGGTGCCAATCAAACTTTGTTTCCTCTCTGGGACACGTTTTCTCCCGTTACTTACTTTTTGGTATATTGGAACTAAATTCTGCAAGCAGCCGCATGATTCGTCTCTTCCTTCGGTCGGTGACTAGTTTTTCAGCTAGTTTTCATCCCATTCACCACCGCAAACTCGACTGTTTAATCTCCTGCTTGCACACGCCTCCATAGTTTTCACCAGCCAACGGATTTAAATTGTTGGTGATTAAATGCTAAAATAAACATTTGGGAAATTTTGTAGTAACAGCTGTGCAGTGACACTAATTACAAAGATATCAAATTTTTAATCAAATGGGAACTTTCAAAGACAAAAATTCTCTGAAGAGATTAAGCGAAAGTTTTGGATACAAAATAAGTGTGTAATAAGTAAGTGATCCGCTTTCGAGTTTGAGGAGACACAACAATGAAGCTGCTCGGCAATGCAGTGATGTACTTATTTTTTACATAATGCAGTACTTATCAAATTCCTGACGTCGTAATACGATACTTATATTACATGGTGATATTTTGCTTGATATCTCGCTGGGCGGATCTTCTATACTCGGATGAAGCAAGAGACGTTATTCTACGTACTGCTTAGCTTTAGAGCTCCAGATTTCCTGATACAATATTCCGCTTACAATATTATGAAGTGGAGCACGGGAAAATGGAATGATAAAATGCACTATTTCGTATATTCCGGAGCAGCATTAAGTTGTCAGTTTGTGGAATCATAAAAATGATCAATGACGACTTGTTATTGAGGGAATAGCGGAATATTTTAGCAGCTAACGTTCCTTTCCTGCTGATCTATATCTGGAGAAAGCGGTTTAGGTGCTTCGCTTTGTGATACCGGGAAGCGTTTATTTGCAACGTTCTCCTGAGAAATTGCTAAACTTCTTCAGGAGGTATTTTTCTCGGAACGAAGCATTTTAAAGCTCTGCATCCATCATTCTCAATTTTCCTCGTTTCCTCCTCCGCCGCCGCTCTCGAGCTATCTCTGCTTACGGGAGGAGAGAAGAGCCGTGTGTGGGGTCTTGTTTGGCCTTCCGGGGCAGAGGCTAACGTACCGAAATGTAACCAAGGATCAAATCAAATGCCGGGGGAAAAAGTGGCTGGAAAATAAATTGATTGCTTTATTACCTAATTTTCCATCCTATTTTTTATTCCCGAGACTTTGTCCAATTTTTGATCACTAATGGTTTTTAAACTCTAGTTACCTACCTGCCACCCGCTCTTATCATGCATGCCCCACCCGGCAGCATTATTATTGTTATAATCCCCTCCAAAACCTGGTCTCACCGAGGGATCAGCTACACAGAGGAAATTGCTAGTTCATCCTTGATTACACTGATTACACACAATTATTTCCCTTCAACTGCTCCGATCTCATTAGCAAAAAATATAGCGCTCTCACTTGACATCAAACCAAGTCAGATTTTCCTTCCTTCGGGAAAATAATAATTTTGTCTCGTCTCTTCCACAACTTTTTGTTCGCTTGTTTTCACAATGTTTAACGTTGTTGAAATGATTTTACTCGGTTAGAGGTTCAAGTTTCTGGAGTGAAATTCGTTCGTTACTTGGCTTCTCCACTTCTTATTCTTTTGGGAAGCAGTCATATGCAAAGTAATAATCATCAATTTGGTTTTATACAACTTTTGACTTTGAAAGTTATTGGAATGATTGACTATTGAGGGTGCTTGGCGAGAGAGGAGGAGAGACTCTGAAACGGAGGAAAGTTGGTGGGTCCTTGGTGGGAGAGTATGGATGGACGAGAAAGAGAGGAAATTTGACTAATAGGCGGCGTTCTATCTGTTCCCTCCATCATAAAGAGATTTGCATGAATCGAATAAATTGAACTTGTGAACTCTGCTGCGTTAGAGATAGGGCCGACCGAGTTGCTTATCGGAATCCAATGTGAGACTCAGAATGGGTCTCCTGACATTTAGTATTTAGAATTGGAGTAAAAGAATTTTTATTGAGTGGAAGCAGTTTCTCTCTCAAAGATGTGCCACCACTTGAACAAACTATCGTCTCCCCCGGTGTGAAATGGTGGAATATGTGTGAACTTTTTCAACTTCTTTTCTACTTACTTTCTCTCTCAGCACTTCTCCAAAAGACTTTTGTTATAGATCTCTGGGTTCTGTTCAACTTTCTCTCTTTAATTTCTGATCCTGAGACACTTGAATTAAAGTACTCGAGTGAGAGTCACCCAAATTCCTCGAATTCATAATATTCGCATTAGTATTCAGAGATTTTGTAACCAATTTTCTGACGTAACCAATTTTACATGTTTTGCACACTCTTTTCGTGAATTAGAGTTTTCAACGGATTCATTTGTTCGACATGGAACAGATTTATTTGTTTTAACGTTTTGTTGAGGGATGAATTTCCTTGAGTACGTAATCCTGCTGAATGATGATTCAGATGAGGAATTTAGCGAGTCTTCATCCCGTCTTTTTTTCTACACTCGCTTTGCAGCGTTGTAATTAATTTCTTGTGTAGAGGAAAGATTTATGACCCTTTCTACGAGACCTTTTTGGTTGGTGTATCATATATAATCGGATCTGAAGATGTTGGCAATTAATTAGCAGAAGTCAAGGAAGACAAGGAGCAGTAATAATTGCATTTATTAATGTCGTTGTTGCTACACACACCAGTAATTGAGTGGCCTCTCAGCCAACGTATAAAAGTCGGAGGGAGGGAGTGCATTGTTTACGATTTGTTCAACGTGCCCAATAATTCCCAAGTTGTTTTGTGTTGGTGGAGGAAGTAAAATGAATGTTTTCTGTGCTTGCAGCCCCGTCACTCGGCCAAGTTATTGAGTGTCCTTCGTCAAATGCCACAAAGAACGGGTCCTGATGTGTTCTTCAGCTTTCCCGGAAAGAAAGGCTCGGTAAGAAAGCAACCAGACGACGAGCGAGAGAAGGACGTTGATTGTATTTATGGCTCCATAAACTGAATGTGGCTGCCTCACTTGTGCTGCTGCTGCCTCGTTTTCTTTGTACAATTACCACTGGTTGGTGCTGGTTGAATTATGACCCAAAGTCAAAAGTTGAGCAACGTCAACATTTCGTTTCCCCTGAGCAAATAAAATTCTCTGTAAATTCAAGCGAAAAAATGTATTTCAACATCAAATGCAAGGTTTCAGAATAATTTCCTGAATAATTTTCTGTTAGACAAGCAGGTCCACTTAAGGCCCGAGAGTTAATCCGGCCCTTTTTTGCTGAGCATTCCATTCATAGTGACAACTCGGCAAGAAAGAAATCTTGTCAGATTTTGAGACAGTTACGAGAAATTCCTTTTCTTTTTCCCTCTTATTTCCTCTCTCTCCTCATGTTTGATTCTGGATTCGAGTGAAGCTCTTGACCTGACACGAGTCTTCTCCTCCCTAATGCCACGACGTAACCAGATTCGTGTTGTGCTGTTATGCGAACAAGCTTCACAATCCATTTTTACCCTTTTTTGAGAAGACGACATACAGATCAGGACATTATTATACCAAAGTAGTGCCACCCGGGCAACATCCATTCTCAGTCAGCAGCACCAGCAGCAGCAGCATTAACCAACCCGTCCTTCTTCTTCGCCTTTCGTCGTATGTAACTACTAGATGCTATGTCGTGTAGAAAAATAGGATCTTATTCATAGCAGAGGAATGTTCATGCGCTGCTATGTATTTCCATGAGGAGAGAAAGGTGAACTCTCTCTCTCTGATGTCACTATGCATCCCCTCGTGTCTGTTTTGATTTGTTTCCATCCCATAAAATGGGTGCGCTGCCAAAAAATCGTGGAGCAGTGCATTGTGTCGTTGATTGTTTGCTAAATAGATCTAATTTAAAAAGATATCAGATGGGCACAGACTGTTGGTAAAAAGCTTTTTTCTGTTTTTGCAGGCTGTTCTGCTCCCTCCATTGGCCCGATGGCCATATGAAAATGGTTTCACATTCATGACATGGTTCCGTCTTGATCCTATCAACTCCGTCAATATTGAACGAGAAAAGCCCTATCTCTACTGGTAAGTCGGGACATATAACTACATCCCACCATCACCCACCCCCTCATCCATCTATCTTCTTCCCTGCATCAATAACGGGCCAAGTTTAAAGTGATTTCTTATTCCGACTTCCCACTTTGTTCTGGCTGCACACATTTTGTAAGGTGTCAGCACCTTAAGCAGCAGACAAAAGTGCAATCCAGAAGGGTTGCCCGCATCGGGAGATTTGTAAATTTAAATATTTTCCGAAACTCTTTTTGTCATGATAATAGTGAGACAAAGGTTTTAATTTTCACCACAACTATTCATCCTACGTGGAGCTAGGCAGAATCTAAATTGCGTAAAAATGCTATGATAACACTGGGAGAAAGCGGAGGAGGCTCGAAACGCGTGACCACATTGTTTGTAAACATTCCTTGCTTTTGTAACACATCGGTGAAAATGGAGGAAGGAAGCCCATAGACAAAAGGAGAGAAGCAGAGCCCAACCTCGTTTTAAATTGAGCTTAGTCCGTGGCTGGTGAGGAAAAGAAGAAGGGGAAGAGAAAGTACAAAACTTTTCTCTTACTCTTAACCATTTGCATAGATATTGACAGGATTGGATATTGGTTTCTCCCGGAAAAATGATGAAAATCTCAGCCTTTTTGCTGTTGCACACTACATATTATGGCGATGGCAAGTGTGCTCTATGTATGTAAAAAAAAGTCTTCAAAGTTTAGCCTTAAAAAGTTGTTCTACTCCACCATTTGGCCCAGGTTTAGGGTAAACTGAGCCGTTTGTGCTAACCAATTCCAGATCATTACGGGTTTAATGATTCGTAATATATTTTCAGGGTATCAAATTAAATTAAATTGCTACTTTATTTTTACGACCAGGCTACATTGTATCATCTTATGATAGCAAGGGGTGTATTTTCTCGGAAAATTTCGTAACCTTTAATTGCGCCTTGCAAAAATGTGTGGGTAAAATAACTAACAATAATTTTGCCTGATTACAGTTTCAAAACGAGTAAAGGTGTGGGATATTCTGCTCATTTTGTGGGAAATTGTTTGGTGCTTACATCCATGAAGGTGAAAGGCAAAGGGTTCCAACACTGTGTCAAGTACGAGTTCCAGCCTCGCAAGGTGGGTATTTTTCTGTAGAATGAGTATGATTATTCGTCTAAAATGTGCTCGTCGACGTAACTATTAGAGCAAACTATGTATACGTATATCTTCAATAAGAAAGCTTTCTTTAGAAATTTTGCACGCTCGTTTTATTCAAACCCATTATTCTGTTTTCACTCCGAGCTGCGTTCCTGGATACGTACGTTGTTACGAAGATATCCGTGTGTCGTGTGTGCGGAGAAGTGTAAAAGAAAGTAAAAGGGGAGGAACGGTGGAGAAGAAAATGAGATAAAGTGGGTCGTGTTATTAAAGTGAATCTCATTTGACTAACGTTGATCTTGATGTTTCAGTGGTACATGATCTGCGTCGTCTATATCTACAACAGATGGACCAAGAACGAGATAAAGTGTTTCGTGAACTGCCAACTAGCCAGTTCTACGGAGATGTCGTGGTTCGTCTCGTCAAATGAGGTTAGTTTACTTTTCATTACGTCAGGTATTTTTCATTCTTCCTTTGACTCATCAAAAATTTCTGCTGCCAGCAGACGCCAACTAACAAAATTAAATGAGGTTGCCTCTTTCTTCCTCGATCCACGGCGAGGCTGCTGCTCAGATGATAGGAAACAGTTATTGCTCCCTCACGTTCATTTTTCCGCCATGTTTTTTACTTTATAATTTTTAACAACGACGTCCTCAACACCCACAATTCCTTCTCATAACGGGGAACGAGGAAAAATGTAAACGATCCCGACGCAGAAATCCAAACCCTTTAGACTTTCATATTTATGTACGTATGAAAACGTGGGTACATATACGCATATTTATCCTTTAGCAATAAAATTAAAGGGCTCACGCACATGCATAAACACAATATTTTGTTTTGGATGTGCAATATACATACATATTTCGTAAAGGCAGCTATTTTTTAAACTAATGGACAAAAGTTATTTTCAGATTTTCAGTATTTTGAATTTTGAGTTGCATCCGTTACATAAAAATTGTTAGACTGCTGTGTACTTCCCCGTTTTACATGGAGAAAGGAAATATTCCTTTTGGTGGTAGTACTTCATGTAAAGGAAAATGTAGCCTGAAAGTTATCCACACTTTATAAGAGCCAGAAGAAATAATAATTCTTTTACCCCATAAAATTTTCCATTGTTCTGCCTCCTTCCGGAAGCTCTGGTCTCCTAAACCTACATAAACCAATAGAACGACTGTCCCACAGGCCGGGACAGTCGACATAACGGCTTCTTCTTCTTCTTCCCCGCTTAAACTCAACTACATCCATGTGACCTTTTTGTTTAATGCATGGGAGCGATTTTTGGAAGTTTGCAAAGAGCGTGTCGCGTAATATTTGATCTTCGAGATGAGTGCACCTTTCGAATGAGTGGTTTTTGGTCGGATAGAGATGAGCCCCAGTCGAAACGGAGGAAAAAGAAGAAGAAAGATGATGATATGTTCTGTAGCCGTTCTGTCGCTCATTAGAATTCGACGGGCAGTTGTGCCATCAGTTTCGCTTACATCATTTTGTCTTTCTTCTTCCCTAGTTTATTATGCACGGTTTTCAGCCTTGCATAAGTTTTCCGTTATGCTGAGTGATACACACAATTTACACGAGGGAAATAATTTAACGACTTTCTTGCCTCAGTTTTAACGTTTCCATCACTTTGTTCGCATTCCGTATTTACTGTTAGCTGTCCTCTTTTTATTTGTAGTAATTATGAAGGGTTTGCTGGACAGATTAACATGGATGGATGACTGAATCTCCAGCATACGCGATGAAGTAATTGAGTTTTTAGCGAGGACGTTGTCTGGTGGGGTACTTCGCTTTATGTAAATAGTGCTCAACATCAAACGGTATGATGTCTCTTGAAAATCTTGTCGCGTTAGTGGGATGTGATGACAGCTTGATCCAGACTGGTTTTAAAGTGCACAATTGTCAGATGCCGAGTTTGAAAAGAGGTAGCATGAAGCGACGTGACATGAAAATCACCACAACGCGACTATTACATATACATACATCTCAGCCATGCATACGATCTGAATTCGCCAAGAAACACGACTCGCTTTCTACAACTATTTGCACAATTACGTCCAACTTTGACTTTCTTTTGTAACCCCGTTTGTATAGACATGTATTTTCTATATTATATCATAAAATCCCGACGCTTCAGATATGAAAATGGGCATTTGTGTTATGAAACATGTTGCAACTTACGTAATATTGATTTACAGCCCTTTGACAAATGTTACATCGGAGCTACACCAGATTTGGATGAAGAGCGAGTATTTTGTGGTCAAATGTCTGCCGTCTACCTTTTTGGCGAATCTCTGACCCCGCATCAAATCTGTGCCATGCATCGACTCGGTCCAGGATACAAGGTTTGGGGTTGAAACATAAAATGCAAATTTACATATGTATGCTTTCTCTACATCGTTATTCTCGTTTGTTTGCAGAATCAATTCAGGTTTGAAAACGAGTGCCATATGCAACTTCCGGATAATCATCGCAGAGTACTATACGACGGTAAACTGTCATCGTCTCTGGTCTTCATGTACAACCCAGTTGCCACAGATAGGTCAGTCTGATCTACATATTGCAATATATCATTAAGTATCGAATCCACCATGGGAATGAGTAGCATAAATATCGATATATTATCAATATCACCAGTTATAGAAACCATTTCGTATGTAGATTCAAATTTATTTTCAATTTTACAAATCTAATTTGTGTGCCATGGTTGATTCGAATATTGCGTTTTATCCATTGCATTTTCACTCGTGACTTATCAATCTGTTTAACTTTATATATTTTCCACAGCCAATTGTGTCTTCAGTCATGTCCCAAAGGAAACATTTCTTATTTCGTCCATACGCCTCACGCGCTCATGCTTCAGGTAAGTCTTAAAGCGAGAAAAATGAATAATTTCAGATTCAAATTTAATTGTGAACGCCAACCTTTGCCTTTTCCACACCTGATTCATTTTTGATTTGAAAAATGTTGCAGGATGTCAAAGCTGTGATCACGCATTCCATTCACAGTACGCTCAACTCCATGTAAGTTGGTTACAACAATCAATAAATTATTAGCGTAGCGACTCTGAATATTCGCGAGATGATGAGAAATTTGAATATTTTTCCAGCGGAGGAATCCAAGTGTTGTTCCCTCTCTTCGCACAGTTGGACCTCCATCACGACGGCTCGGATAACAAAGATCCATCACTTTGGTACGTTTTTCCTACTCCCGTCTGTCAGCACCTTCACCAAAAGTCATCTTTCAATCCGACAACAAACACCAAACTTTCTCCACATAAATAATTTGCTTTCACACATTTCGATAAAAAGTAGCATTTGGCCGACTACGCTATAAACTTGTCGAGTAGAGTGGTGCTTAGGTCGTACGACGAGGTACGTATGCACATACTTTTGGTTAGTTGGTTGGGGTGTCTATTCAAACAGGAATCCAAACCAATTAATCATCGTTGGTGGTCTGAGTGAGCAGGGGGCAACTCCATCAACCACCATGGACACGAACAACTTCTTGTTGTATATGTAGTAGTCTCTCGTCCTCGTGAACTTTACATCGCGATGGTGCTCTCTCATCCCAAAATATATTCGGATTTACGAGCATTCAATAAATAGTTTATCTTGAAGAATCTAACATCCACACACACCACCAACTTTTGCAATCTTTCTCCCTCAAATAGAACCAACTTTATTTTCCATCTATGAAAAGTATTCAATAGGATCATCCTTGTGAGAATTCGTCACATCTTCGCAAGATCGACAAAATTTGGGCTGGTTGGTAAGTAATGCACATAACAATACACGTTCTACTTACGTCTTGCGTATGTAAGTATTTGCTAAGCCTATATATAGCAGGGTGCCATCTTTATATGCATGTATCAAAAGCAGATTAATATTGGAGATACCTTTCTCCTGTCACCAAGAAAGATTTCCTGTCATGTAAACCTTTATTGCACGAATTCTATTGGTTTTTAGAGAGGAATGTGTACTGATCTCGATTTCCAATTTGCTTAAGAAGAATGTTATGTGCTGTTCTTGTGATTCTGTGTTGTTTTGCATTAATTCTGCTGCGGGGAGATTCTCGGAATAAGGAAGATGCTACGAGGCTCCGGTGTGAGGCTGAGTAGGAGAAGAAGGTGACAGACTCTGCTGGATTTAGTGGTTAGACTATGGTTAGGTTGAGCTGAGTAGATTTCATGTGGGGCGTTAATATTGCATTAAGATGTCAAGATAAATCATCAGCAATAATAGAATGGCAAATAGACTGAACCACAGCAAGCACTGGTTATTTCCTACGTAAGCTCCCACTTTCTCTCCTTTCACCAAATGTGGAGCAGCTTGTTGTCCTTCTCGATCGAGGACATTCTCTGCTCTTCTCTCACCATCAGCATGCACGCGGTTCCTCCCTGGTTCCACCCCATTCGACAAAATAAGATTAGCAGTGGTTGGCTCGTGTAAGAAGCTCTTACGGATTTACATGCTCTCTCCGTTTTCCTGCGGTGAATATGCTTTTCTCATTGTTACATGGAAACCAAGACGAGTAGTCCCATTATTATAAGGGACGAGTTGGTGGAGGGGGTTCTGAAATAACAAATTTGCTCAAGATGTACGTACATATCTTTTGACTCAGAGCCTGTGAACTTGTCCCTTTCTCTAGACCGTGGTGGTGATGGTGATAGTTAGGTCAGTGATTTTATTACTCTGCTATCTTCTCTGAGATCTGGTAAGCATATAATCGAGGTGTGACTAAGAGATAGCATGGAGCGACGATGGAGAGAGAAACTTAAAGTCATTATGCATAATAATGGAGCTAACAATCTGTAACAACTCCGGATTTGCCCTCCCTGCGACCAAGAATACCATTCTTTGCGTATGTAGTTCAGACCAGACCAGCCCATCTCATGTTCCACTCTTGAGCTCACTTACGGCCGTGGTGGTGGTGCTGGCTGGCATTCTCTCCATGAATTATTTGTGCACTTTCTACTGACCGAATCCCACATTTGTACTTGTTTTTGTAGCGAGAGAGTACATACTTGGTTTTTTGCCCCGTGGCCGCAATAGTGTCTCTGATTACTGTCGCTCGAAAACAATAGGGTTCGCATGAGTTATGTATGTAGCCTAAAATACAAGAGTACTCTGGAATTGGGTCTCATGATTTTCTCAGCAAAATTATTTTACCAATGTATACATGTCCTGTCCTTCTTTCTGCTTACGTATTTATGTAGGTTTCACGAACAAAATGTAACCCTGCAGATGAACGATTACTTCGTTGTTAGTTCTATTTATATTTGTGACTTTTGCTATTTTTGTCCCACGCCATATTAAAAAGTAAAAGCCGACAAGGCCACGAGTTGTTCAGGGATTTGAGTGATTCTTGTTGGTAATGTAATGAGTTCTGTAAAAGGATGAACCATGTTTTACGTAACAATCAAGGTACTACACATTTCATACAGAAATAATAAGAAGCCGCCGCCTACCACCACTCACTTTCTCCACTACACTACAAAGTCACTTTGCCACTATATCACCGTACGTATGCCCCATTGAAAAGTTTGGGATTCCTTTTAAAGTTCTGAGAAAGAAAGAATGAAACCAACTACTCAAAAATTTAAGGAGCGTTCCCACTCAGTAAAACATTAATGGCTCAGGACTCCGACTACTCTCCGTGTGCCGTGAACACCAACACAAACCTATCAAGAAGTGAGTCTCAAGTAAATTAATGTTTTGGTTCTGCTTCTTCTTCATAGCTCGAAATTGCTGGAGTTCATCTGCGAGCTGGTGGAGTCGTCACCAACGGTGCAGCAGCACATGATTCAAAACCGCGGTGAGTTCAGGAAATGGAAAGTTTTTATTTACATTTCATTCGTTACTGGTATCTATAAGAGTATATACTAGTGTCCCTTTGGACCCAAGAAAACATCAACAAGAAAGTGTTTCATCAAGTAATTATGAATAATCTCCCAAGAATTCTTATCTAAATACGTAGAGTTAGCCTGGCGATTAATACAGATTGGGTGAGACTGACCAACAAATATCTCTGGATTGATGCGGTTAGGAAGACGAAGAAGAGAGTGGATCAGGGCAGACATCTGAAGAATAAACTCCCATTTGTATCGGTCCTCAGCAAGAACGATTCCGATGGGGACAAGCAGAGGGTTAGGATGGTCGCCTTTGTTATTTTTATAATCAATTACGGGGTCCGATAGGTGTTGCTTTTCAGTGTGGACGTTAAGTTTCAAAGCCTGGCCTGCATAAATTACGAAGGGACTAGCAACAAAGTATAATGCAGCTACTTTTCCTTTCTTCAACTCCTTCCCTCGTTTGAGAAGAGACCCAATTGTTTCAATCTTGTTGGCTTTTAGAAGGAATGGTATCTCTGAGCCCTGCAACTTCTTAGCGGTGTCAGGGATGATTTTGTCGTGAATTTTAAGCTCAAGTCCATGCAAGTCCATCTCTTCAACAAATTCCCTGTATGCCCCATTCGGGAGATTGATCATCAAGTTTAAACAAATGATTTTGATAGTGGTATCGGGCCATAACAACATCGTGAAGAGCGTAGTTGTCTAAAAAGCAAAATATAAAGTTTAATGGAAAAATAGATAAATCGAAAGTAAACTTATTATTGAGCCCGTACTTGTCTGGCTGCATAAACTTTCATCAGTTCATTCTCAGCTAACATGAGATCCTCGTCATTGATAAAGTAACGCCGCCGCTCTTTAATTTCCAGGAGTTGTGGGGTTGGTTTCCCTAATTGCTCACGTTCCTGTTTGTACAACGGCCACCCATACGTTTGATTCATCCCTAATACTGGGACCCCCAATGCTTTCGTTGCATTATCTTCTTTTTCTTGTTCGTCTGCATCTTCAAAAGTAAATGATGCAATTGCGTGCATCACCACCTCATTCTTCTTATTCGCAGCATCGGTGAATTCGGGCAAAACAAATCCAACTTTCCTTCCCTTGTGCACACTACACTTGGGATTTTGGTTTACTGTAGTGCCATGGTATCGTAAACAGTCTGAAATACAAAATAGCTCTTAGTATAGCTTTGCTTAGGACGAGTCAGGAATTACATGTTATTAGCGTATCATACTTGACTTGGCTGTACAGATGTAGTGGTAGCTGGTCACATCTCTAACTGCAAAGAGTTCCCATGGTCGTTTTTTAGCTGTATTGGGTGGCATACATACAACCCTGAGGGTTGTCCCTACAATTTCCAACCCTTCCTTCCCTGCTTTGCGGATCTCTTCTTCAGCACGGGCCCTAATTTCTGTGGTCAGTATGAGGTTTTTGGGTGGGATGATTTCGGGTGTCAAAGGAGTGAGCTGAGACAAAGGTTGAGATTGTTGGGACCCTTCATCCATTTCCTCCTCTGCTCCCAGTTTGAAATAGAGCTGACGCAAGGGGCTGTCGGTCACGTCTGCGAAAAATAACACATTCAAACGGTGTGAAACAATATTCTAAAAATCAAGTCATCCAGTCATTTGATGAAATATTTCATACCTTCAGGTTTATTAGACATTCTCCTCTCTGTTTGCAAGACCTTTGCAATTTTCCACCAAGTTGGAATTGGTTTGTCTTCCCTAATCTGGATTTTCCTTCCAATGTAACGGTGGTCAGGCTGTGTGGGTGGTGCTGGGGAGAATCTTTTCCCATCTACCTTCTTTTCCACTATCGCCCACTTCCTTCTTGTAGTCAATTCCTCATCTTCATCATCAGAGTCAGGTTGACAAAAGCGGACAGTCGGCTCCCCTTCCTAATTAATAACATCGGTGTGGTTAGTTAAAAGAAATACTACACACAATGCAAATTTTAAATATCACCCACCTCTCCATCAGCATCCTCCTCCTGCTTCTTCTTCTTGGATCCGCCGTTTTTGCCACTGGTGGGTGTGGCCGACTTCCTCTTCTTGGCGGAAGCTGGAGTGGGTGGAGTTTTGCTGGAACCAGCAGCAGGCGCAGCTGCTGTAAAACATCATCCATCGATACACAGTTACTATTATACTGAAATTTGTAAACTTTATTTTACTTACCTATTTTAACTTTACTCATCGGCACAGCTACGACAAATGCATCATCGCGATCACTGTCACTCATCTTCCTTACCTGCAACACAAAAAAATCAAAATCACATTATTGTTCAGCCACCCACAACACAATGAAATTGAGAAGACACAATATTCACAATAATTTATACTTACTCGAAAATAATTATCTATCAATTTAACAAAAAAAACACCGGCTGATTGCTGGGTAAATATGAAGAGAACATTCCACCGCCAGACCAATTTCAGTTTTGGGGTATCCGAGACACGCGGAACCAACCAACGCAGTAGCTACACGAAATATTGGAATGACATGAGAGAATGTAAATAAATAAACTTCCTCATTTTTAGGGTTCCTAGTCATCAGCTACTTGCTCCAGCGAGCGTCCAGAGAGCATCTCACTATTCAAGTGTTGTCGTCTTTCCTTCAACTCACCAAATACCTGGTGAGTATTATATTTGGTACAAATGGGTAGTTTGTTAAGGATAAATACTATTAATATGTCAATCAGACAATATATTACAAGTTGAAATAAGTTAAATTAAATGAAAATGACGGAGCGAAGGTCATTGACCTCTGCCTTTGATTTTCCGTTCACTCGCTTCAATTGCGAAAGATGTGCTTTATTTATATTTTTAATTTACATTTTACATTTCAATTTCAACTAAATAACTGTATTAAATTTATTCAACAGGTTACCTGCTGTCCAAATGCCAACAGCGAACTACTCCTTAAACAAGTAAGCTTTTGTGGCATTCCTTCTGAAGAAGCTGCCCATTTTTCTCAATTTGGTCCTCCTCCTCCCTTGTCGTCTGACGTACAATGCAGAAAAGACGGCCGACGGACTACATACACGTCTCTCGAGGGATGTGTCTCGTACTCGTTTCATAGAATCATCAGATATGACTTTTTTTACAAATAATAAATTTTTTTGCAAAATTTTCACTCTCGACTTTCTCCAGAATTTAATGTTATTCTTGGAAAAAAATCGCAAAGTAAACAATTTTTGTAAGATTGTATAAAGAGCTCTTGCACAGTAGTAGCAGCAGCTATGAAAGTAAACTCTGAGCCGAGATTCAAATTTTTTTACAGCGAAAAATGTTTTGACAAAGAGTGAAAGTCTGGAATATTCCCAACCAGTCATAATAATAATATTGGATGGGGTAAAAGTTGTTGTACAATCTTGCGAGGAAAAAGGGAAAGCAGAGCATAAATAAATAAAGATGGATTGAAAAATCGTTTGTATTCATATTGCAGCTGTTGGACCACATCCTGTTCAATCCAGCCCTGTGGATCTATACCCCTGTGCAAGTGCAAAGTATGTCTCACTTATGTAATCCTTATTTATGAACTTCACATAATGTTAACCTGCAATGGCATGTCTTCAAGTTCCATTACTACTACTACTATTTTTGCGCCACACTTTTTAAATGTCGAATCAATTTTACTCATCATGCTACATTCGAAAAGAATTCCACTAATTACTGGTTTGTTTGCTTGCTTTGTCTTAACAGTGAAGCTGTACTCTTACCTGGCCACCGAGTTCCTTGCAGATACACAAATCTACTCCAATGTACGACGCATTAGCACCGTTCTCCAGACTATGCACACCCTAAAATACTATTACTGGGTTGCAAACCCCAAGGACAAGTCAGGCATCGCTCCCAAAGGTCTCGGTGGGTTTTTAATACATGTATTTATTTATATGTCCGCTTAATGGTCTCCAAAATATGTAAATATGTACCAACACGTATGGACCACTTTTACTTATGCATATCGCTGTCAGATGACCTTTCACCTTTTTATAATGATATGCAGCAAGGATAGAGAAGCGTCATTAATTAAGTCGACTAGTTTTGTTTGGAATTTTACATTTGCATAAGTACTTATGCATGTATGTACGCCACCAAAAAGTTGTCGAGGAAAAGTCACCCGAATGAAAGTAGTGAAATTTGTGTATAAAAGATGGGATTAAGTGCAAGTTTGGAAAGGGAATTGTACGTTTAGACATCAAATTGGTGGCTTTTATAGAGTTATATGCAGTTTATTTGGATCCTGGAGAGAATAAAGTTGTACGTACGTACAGACATACGTACTCGTTGAGGGAGCAATTTGTAGTTAGTTTTGCAAGTATTTGGTGTTATCCTGTTTGGATATTGGCTCACTCAACCTCAACCTCGCTGAAGGGTGAGCAGGGAGGGAGATGGAAAGTAGTGAGTCCTTGTGTATTTAGCGAACAGTGAGCCAAGAGAATTTATACCCTTTTGGTTCGAAAGCTGTTTGTTTCCTTCTTTGGTCGGACACCAGCAGTCCGCCAACCAACCAACCAGTTGTTACTTATCCACTCCACATGGGTTTACGACAGTGCAGAATAATTTATGAGACTCCCCTTGTCGGTTGAATTTCAGATGGTCCACGTCCTGCCGATGACATCATTGCAATACGAGCTTATATTCTCCTTTTTCTCAAACAACTAATCCTTATCGGCAATGGCGTCAAGGAAGATGAGCTCCAGAGCATTCTAAATTATCTATCGACGGTGAATGAGGTGAGTAACCGAAACCAAACCCCCCGTTGTCTCCCCACCACCTCCACCACATTAGTTTCGTGAATTTGAGCAAACTTATTTCCAATTCTCGACACAATGTCCGGAATTTCAAGCCAGTCGCTAAACCACAGTGACCACAATTGCTTAGTCAAAGTGAGCAATAAAATTTTGCCTTGTAACAAAGACCCAACCCGTTGCCGATCAGGGGGAGAAATGGAAACAAGAGACGATGATACAGATCGCTCAACTCTTTATTGTTTGTAGGATGACAATCTCCACGATGTTCTGCAAATGTTGATCTCCTTGATGTCGGAACATCCGTCGTCACTTGTCCCAGCCTTTGATGCCAAAAACGGAGTGCGTGCTGTGTTCAAACTTCTCTCCTCAGAGTCTCAACTCATTCGTCTACAGGCGTTGAAACTTCTTGGGTTTTTCCTCTGTCGGAGCACCCACAAGTGAGTTTTTCCATCTGATTCTTAAGTTGTCCGTAATGGAGAGAAAGTAAATATATTATCAGAAGCAGAGTATGCCTAGCGCTAAGTTTTGTTACTCTTTTATCCAAAAGAAAGTAGTGAGGCGTGTAATGTATTCCCCATTTGATTAGGAATTTAGAACGAAAATAACTCTAAAACAGCGTATGGATGCTGATGGTGGGTGTGATTGATTTCGATCATTCCGATACCGCATAAGTATTAGGACGAGCACTATTGTATCAAGTACGCATCCAAACAAGCAGTATACACGAGATACTCAAGCAGAGTGCAAGTGCGAGAATAATGAGACGATTGTGCAGAATAATGGTAATTCGATACAAAAGAACTCTTCTTAACTTATTATGCTGAGTGGAGATGCAAGAGCAAAGAGAAAAAAAATCAACATTTTCTGGAGAGATTCATCTGAGAGAAAAAGAGAGAGATGTACGCCGATGATGCTTGGCTTGCCATTGTATGGAATGCACTCGACGGATTTTCTGCATGAGTGATCCAACATCCAGTCGAAAAGTTGTGTTTTCTGAGCCCCTATGAATCATATAGTTTAAGCTTAACGTCCTCCTCCCAATACGTATAAAAGTGGGAGGCCTGGGATAGTTATGAGCCAGCTATTTCTCCCATGTTTGGTTATATCCACATCTTATAATCATCTACATGGAGAGAGGAGTCAAGAGACAAGTCATAACTCATGCTATCAAATCTTCTGCTCCGGCCACAACAAAACGATGCACAAACAAAGCACTCACTTTCTCCGCGCTCTGTAAACAGGAGGAGCGGGGAATAAGCGGAGAAAGTGGAGCCCATTAGCTCACTCACTCCGTCAGTTCAACTTTATCCGATTCTCAGCTCGACGAAGTTATACCCATTACTTCGGAGCAGTCAGGCAGGGCCGGGTTATTGATCCTATTATCATGTCTAAATGCGTGGTTTGGTTGTTTTCTGCAGGAGAAAGTACGACGTGATGAGTCCTCACAACTTGTACACGCTCCTCGCCGAACGACTCCTTGTTCACGGTAAGTTTGATACATAATTTTGAACTTGCATTTTCATTTTACACATTTTATTTGATTATTTTTTTATCCTCATGTATTCAAGAAGAGTCCCTCAGTCTTCCAACCTACAACGTGCTATATGAGGTATGCATACGACCAGACCGTTGAAATGCTATGCAAAGTAGCACATTTTATCGTCATTAATCTTTAAAACTCATGCTGTTAAACTGCCCTTGTTATAGATTCTTACGGAACATATAAGTCAACAGATATTGTATTCCAAGCACACCGAACCAGAGTCAAACTACAGGTTGGAGAATCCAAGTAGGTTCAACATACTCATTCATTCATTCGTTGCATTTATTATGGTTGGACGCTTACTTGTGTATAATTTACTTATATTATGGCCCATGTTTTTGTTTCTCAGTGATTCTGAAAGTGGTTGCGACGCTGATACGACAATCCAAACAGACTGAAGTACTTCTGGATGTTAAAAAGCTCTTTCTCTCGGACATGACACTTCTGTGCAATCATAATCGTGAAAACCGTCGAACAGTTTTGCAAATGTCTGTCTGGCAGGTATGTACATACGAATGAATATTTGTAGGGATAAGAGTCATAAAAAACCATTGTCGTCACTCGTCGAAATGTTCAAAGACTTGACTTTTTACTCTCACACCTTTCCACAGGAATGGCTCATTTCTCTGGCGTACATTCATCCCAAGAATATTGAGGAGCAAAAGATTTCCGACATGGTTTACTCCCTGTTTCGTATGCTGCTTCATCACGCCATAAAGTACGAGTATGGAGGTTGGAGAGTATGGGTAGATACGCTAGCAATCGTTCATTCTAAAGTGTCCTATGAAGAGTTTCGTTTACAATTCACGCAAATGTATGAACATTATGAGCGCCGACAAACGGATAATATTACTGACCCAGCCGTCCGTCAGCAACGTCCAATAAGTACCATTTCTGGGTGGGATCAGCCGCCCATAAACGAATTTGAATCCGGAGAAGACGTCGTCGGCACAATTACGGTGACCGATGTAACGAATGACCTTTCGGGCAACGAGGCAGAAGAGGAGCTCACCGAAACTGCTGATGAAGAAAACAAATCTGGCACTGAGACAGAGGATCGGGAAATTAAGTCCGATGAATTCGATTCTGCTGATGAAGCAACCACGGAAAAAGTAGTAACCAAACCAACCATCCCATTGGCAGAGGATGAGGAGGCAACAGCAGTGGTGGTGGGAGAAAGTAGTCCGTTTAAAGAAAAACTTGATAAAAATATTTCCAAAGAAGGGGATGCAGAAGGCGAGAGGGAGGAGGAAGAGGAAGAGGATAAAAATATACAAGACTGTGATACTACTAAGGAAAGCAAAATTATTTCAGACCCCGAGAACCCTCTCCCCCTGAATATTGTAGGTTGTAAGGATGGTGATGATGATAAGACAACTAGCGTAAACTGTGTGGAAGAGGAACCTGAAAATGACACTTGCTCAACGGAACCAGAGATGCCAAATAATTCTGAGAATGATATAGACTTTGAGAAAAATTCTTCTTCAGTCCCATATTCCCCAGTCAAGAACGGAATCAATGGAAAGTCAAGCACCGAACCGGAAGATGATGAAGGTGACTCGGGATTTTGCAAGTCGAAATCTTCCAAAATTGAGTCAAATGAGGCAGCTTTGACAAATGGTGGTTTGTCGCCAGAGAAAAAGTTGGATGGCTCCGGTAAAGCCTTATCGGAAAGTCAAGATGAGACGTCTGAGGCATCCGTTGCCTCCTCCCCTGCAAAAGAGTTTACTTCAAATTGTTTAGGAAGTGACGATGAGACGACTGGAACTAAGCCAGTCGTTGGTCCAGAAACGGAAGACGATGATGAAGAAATGGATAATCAACCACTTTCACCATCTGTACCAGAGGTAGAAATTATACAGGAAAATGGTATTCCTCATTCTCCACATTCGCCCTGTGACGACAATGTAATTCACCACGTGGGTTCTCAGCAAGATGGTTCCACGTTGGTTTCTTTGGACAAGATGGAGTGGATCAATCCAGATGAGTCTAAAATGTCAAAGTCTCCCAAACGTAGTCCTATTAACTCGTCCAAGGCTGAAGAAATCTTGTCCGTCGCAGTTAACACGGAGGTGATTAGTGGTGTTGACGACTCTGTTGGTGGCGACAAGGAACGAAGGTCTGCAGCAGAAGTTCTTGATGACGAAGATGAGCTAGAAACTAAACGAAGTTCTACTGCAGCCCAAACCCAAACCAATGAAGAAGGTGCGTGCATTGCATTTCATTGTGTTTTCTTTTTAGTTTCTCGTGCGAATGACACTGGAGCTGGTACCAGTGTGGTCATTCTCACTTTGGGAGTAGTACAGTGGTGTACAATTTGTGTGAATAAATTATAAGGAGGGTTTACATTCGTGTTTTAGGTGGTGGTTCAGGTGAAAGGAGAAAATCTGCTACATTCCATCACGGAGGTCGTCATTTATTTAATCCAGGACCGTCTCACCCTCCATTTAGGTAAGATTCAAATGTTAAAAAGAAATAACATTGAGAACGATATTAACTGTATGCTATTTTCTAACGTGTCTCCATTTAGAATTCCGGAATTTAAATGGTTGGTACACAAATTTTTGCTTTTTAAAAACTTAATGCCAAAAGAATTGCATTGTGGTAACCTCTTAACCCGATTGATTTCCCGTTTTTTTCATTAGGTCCTACATTCATCAAAGACTTCTTTCCGATGTGCTCTTTTCTCTCGAGACGGACATACAAGTGTGGAGAAGGTACGGACGTATTAAATATGCGATTCAGCACTTTTAAAATAAATATTATCAAGTCATTAATGTGCTATTGTAAAACTATCATCTTCTTCCAGTCACTCCACGAAATCTGTCCTGGATTTTGTGAACACTGGAGAAAACACCATCTTTGTGGTCAACACGGTCCATTTGATTTCCCAATTGGCGGATAACTTGATAATCGCGTGTGGTGGGCTTCTTCCTTTACTGGCGTCTGCCACATCTCCAAACGTAAGTCAAAATGAGTTGCATTTAAACATATATTATTTAATGAAAATCATTAAGTATTTAATAAACTTGTTAAAAATGTATCTATAAACTTGTAACCCCTTTGCAGAGTGATTTGGACGTAATTGAACCAACGCAAGGGATGCCGATTGAAGTCGCAGTATCTTTCCTGCAGCGATTAGTGAACATGGCGGACGTTCTGATATTTGCGAGGTGGGTTTTTGAACTTCCCAGGATATAAATATTAAAAGATGGTGTTTCGTTAAACGACATGGTCCAAGCTTTTCTCCCTTTGGCACTAAATTTTTTTAAGTAGACTAAACTCATGTAAATATCCTACATAATCGTCCCTAAACCACTATTACTTGGCTATAATTAGTTATTTTTAATAACAAGTTTAATGATGGCATTTCTTCATTTTTTTCTAGCTCCCTGAATTTTAATGAACTTGAGTCAGAGAAAAATATGTCCAACGGAGGAATTTTACGACAATGTCTCAGACTTGTGTGTACGAGTGCCGTCCGAAATTGTCTGGAGTGTAAGGAGCGCCTTAGAATTCAACAAACTGGAGGATACTGCGGTGGTAATGGGTCCACAATACCCGCAAAAGTGGCCCATCTCCATTCGTTGATCCGAGGAGCCCAAGCATCCCCAAAGGTAACAAACCAAACTAAAGCAAATTGTATAGCACAAAGGAAAAATTAACCGTGTCTGAGAAATGTGAAATGAAATATTTCTTATTTTAGAACATTGTTGAAAATCTGGCAACTCAAAATAGTCCTGTTAAAGATCCTGAAAAGTTGCTACAGGACATGGATGTTAACCGACTCAGAGCAGTGATTTATCGTGATATTGTGAGCAGAATTACTTACAAATAAATATTTCTGATCATCTCATTAAAAGGAATTAATGAAATATTATTATTCAATTTTTAGGAGGAAACAAAGCAAGCTCAATTTCTTTCGTTGGCAATCGTATATTTCATTTCCGTTTTGATGGTTTCAAAGTATCGAGACATTTTAGAGCCTACGCCAACGCCATCGTCAAGTCCAGTACCCCAAATGACGGACTCCTCCTGTCCTTCAGGGTCGCACCCCATAACGAACGGGACCTCGTCGTCCATTCTTTCTGGTATGTATGTCGTATGATAAATATGGCGGCGAATGTCGTAATCCTATCGAGAAACTAGAATATATATAAAAATGTAGCATTATCTAGCAATATTCAGTGATAACATGTAAATACATGTAAAACTATTAGTTACATAATAGCCTCACTCATGTACACTCACTAACTGACGAAGAAAGAAGTATTGGATTGTCTCATTATTATTAATAGTAATTTTATGTGTGTGTAGTGCGGAGCACTAAATATGGTTCCCAGCGACCTTTATACCCAAAGTGGACAAATCACATTTTTCCACAGTATCTCCCGACATTAACTCAGTCTCCTCCTTCATTCTCTTCCTCCTCTGCAACTGTCTTGTCTCATAAATTGTCTTCACAAGGTACTTTTGGCGTTGACGTGTGTAGACGGTTTAATGTAAATGCACCTATGTCGAATGTGTATGTAGAGGTCAGAAGTAGTAGAACCAGCTTGTCGTTGCCTCATTAATGCCATTGTGAACCTGGGCGTTGTGATGTTATTTAATCAATTAACAATCCGTATACCTAATAAATTTATAACGTTTCTGATGTGCACTTTTCGTCAGTGTTCCTTAACTTTTATCTGATAAACTGTTTCAGCCGAGGATGAAAATGGGCGAAATTCACTGGAAAATCACACTGATGTCGACCCACACAACCTTCTCAAAGGTTCTGGGCATTCCAATACTGACCACGAATCTGCGGATGAGGGAAGCATAAGTGGATCGTCGGCAAAGGTATCAATTAAATACTATACATAAAAACACACGTATTAAAGTGACCAGTGCTAAAATATCTCACGTATCACAGACCGAGACCAAAGAGCATAGCGGTGGAGAAGAGCCCTCAAAGTCTCCTAACATTACTTTAAAGGTTTGTTAATTTACCATGCAGTTTTGTGACAATTTTTCAAATTAATTTGCTGCTTGCATGTACAAAGAACATTTTAACATTATTGCACGATTTATATGCAGAGTGATGATCCAATGAGTGACGTCTCCTCCCAGAAGTCTATTGAGGACATGAATAATCCAGGCTTCACTGGAAATGAGACAACTGACGAAAAGAAAGCAGAGGACAGTTGGACGGATGTCAGCTTAAATGATGACAGTGAAACCAATCTGAAAAAAACCGAAGAGAAAGGTGAATAGCGAGTGGATTTAGCATACACTTATTTGCACGTATTTGTAACCTACGTTCCTTATTAACACTGAAATATGACACGCACAGATGGGATGGACCGTGGCGAAAAACCACAAGCTCAAATTAGTGTCGTAAGTGGTTCACCAATGCACAATTCTGGGAGTAACGCGTCCACATCTGTAGTGCCCAAAGCTGAAGAGCTAAACATTAAACCGTTGATGTCCACCGAAGGATTTCCCCTTCCAACGCCTGCTCGAGAGTCGAATTTAACCCAAAAGTTAGAAGCCGCACTTGGCTCAGTTTGTCCACTACTGAGAGAAATCATGGTCGATTTTGCTCCATTTTTGTCAAAAACTCTTCTGGGTTCCCACGGGCAGGAATTATTGTCTGAGGGTAATTTCATGACTTTTGTATGTGGCTCACAATTTTCCATTTATAAAAGTGTTGCTTTTTGAATTTTTAGGTCTTACAACTTTTAAGCATAGGTAATTTACTAAGGAAATTTATAATATAAATATAGATGCATTAAGCAAATATGTAAGGTACAATTACAACTTTAAATAGTACATCCGTTGTGGAGTTGGTCATGCTGCTTTGTTCTCAAGAATGGCAGAATTCGCTACAAAAACATGCCGGCTTAGCCTTCATTGAGTTGATCAACGAAGGGAGGCTGCTGTCGCATGCCATGAAGGACCACATTGTCCGAGTTGCCAATGAAGCCGAATTCATTTTGAATAGAATGAGAGCAGATGACGTTTTGAAGCACGCAGAATTTGAAGTAAGGAGCTTTATTTAAATGAAATGTCTAATTTATTCAATCAATGGTGAACCTATTTAACCCGAATAATTATTTTCATTACAGCAAACATTATGCAACCAGACATTGATGGAACGGAAGGAGGAGGAGAAAATGTGTGACCATTTGATCACTGCTGCCCGACGAAGGGACAATGTCATTGCGGCCAAAGTTCTTGAAAAGACAATAAATATAATTTCTAATAAACATGGAGCTTGGGGATATGATCAAAATACGTAAGAAATAAGATTCACAATCAGTTCTATTTCTACGGTTAAATTTATTTTGAAAAACTATACATCGATATTTCTAATTTAGAGAGCATGTGGTCGAATTCTGGAAACTTGACGCATGGGAAGATGATGCTCGACGTAGAAAACGCTTTGTTCGTAACCCATACGGGTCTAGTCATCCTGAAGCAACTTTAAAGGCAGCTTTAGAACACGGCCTTCCGGAAGATGCAATCCTACAGGTTAATAATCAATTCTGATAATTCAAATGAAAAATAGATATGCTCGGAATAACTCATAATTGTAATTTCTCCAGGCAAAAGAAGAGTTCCACACACATTTGGCCGCTAACAGATCACAGCAACCTATTCAGTCCAATGACTTGATGGATGACAATGAACTCCTCTCTGACGACAGGGAATTGGATCTAGATTTAGTTGGTGAGCAAATATTGAAATATTATATTCGACTGACTTACTCCTCCTTATTACTTGCCATTAAATTGGATTTCATGAAATTGGAGCTCATTTTAACATTTGCCAATTTTGCAGGCCCAGTAAATATTAGTACCAAAGCTCGACTTATATCTCCTGGCGTTGTTTCTCCCGGAATTGTCTCCATTACTTCGAACGAATTATACTTTGAAGTTGATGAAGATGATGACGAATTCAAGAAAATAGATGCCGAGGTAAGCACTGGGTTTTATACAAGTTATGCAATTTCATCACAATGCTGCTTGCTTTATTTACATTTGCATTGCGAATTTCAAACAACAGATATTTAATGATTACTCACATTCGGAGAGGGAAAGTAATTAATACTTCAAAACATAATGAGTATTAGCGTGGTTTCAATCTGCAGTCATAATCAAGGAGTTGGGCAATCTTACAGCCAAACCATGTGCATATACTGCATCCCATCATTATCTATTAGTTGTTTGCTTATTCCTTCAAAGGGTTGGATGGTCCAACTAATGAGCATTTCTTTACTCGAACGAGAAGGGTCTTCCCATTGAGACCAAGGGGTTCAATTAGAAGCAGTAAGATTTAATTTACTCTTTCCTCACAAAGATTTTATGGATAAGTTAAACGCTTCTGAGACCAAGCAAATTGAAACGTGATTATACCTGGCTGCTCATTGGAATGGATGACATTACCTTTGATGCAGGCTCAAGATTTGTTAAGTGAAATTTGTTTAGGATTGATTGATGAATGGATGGTGAGAGCTACTTGCATATATGTGAAAGCAATCCGTGTGGCAATTGCAATTAGTAGCACGGATAATGATGATACATTATTATTACTGCATGGGCTTTGAAAACTTTAAAGTTTTTTAATATCTTGAAGAAATACGAAGATTCATGCATTTACTGTGCACTACTGGACTCACATCTTCTCCACACATCCACTTTAAAGCAAGGTACACGTGATGTGTTGTAAATGCTGAAATGGGTCATCATATTTATCTTGAGTAATTTGAATTGGAGGTAAAATATTTCTAGCTTGCATGGCGTTGCACTGGTGGGACGGAGAGGTGGGCGGCCTGGCGTAAATCTGCATGGGGGTTGGTCCTCGTGTCAAAAATTGTGGAGATATTTTGATGGATGGGCGCAAATTGGTGAAGAGACAGATTTCCATCCAACCAGTTTCTCCTCCAATAATAATAATTGTTCCATGGCTGTGTGTGATCCAAACCTATTATCACTCTCCGTGTATCTTACCTACTTAAACTGTGTATGAATCTTGTCGTGTGCTCATTTATGTGCCGCGTATGCACCATCCACATATTTAACACATATTTCAAGTTTTGAGATTTATTCAATTTCCCATCCTTGATAATGATAGGGATGAGAAAGAAGAGGAAAAGTTGGGAGAGAGGGGGTGATTTATGGGTGGAATCGGACCACTCATCCGTCCACTCTTCTTCTCGCTGTTGTTGAATAACCGGCCACATAAATAAATATACGATATGTATGTGTGCATAAGTTTATGGATGGACGTAAATGAGTATTTTGATTCATTCCTGTGGGACAGTTGAGGGAAAAATTCCACGCTGAAGCAAATGCAGCAGACTACCTGAGAGAGAAAATTCTTGTGCATTCCTCCAGGTGCATAAGTTGATGGGCTTCTTCCTTTGTCGCTGCCTTCTCCATGAATTTTTGATGTACGACCGACCGGACTTACTCGGTGGGCATGATACTACTCTCATTTGTTTCAGAGCAGTGGTGGTCATGTCTCAAAAACATTCGAGACCGATGTGCACTCAGTCACTCATTATTCAGCCCCAGTCTCTGTCTGTGTGTTCCTTATTTGCGGCTATCTTCTTCTTCTTCCTCCAAACTAATCGCATTTATCTCGTATTTATGCAGTACAGTAATGTGGTGGTACGGGTAGGTTGGTAGTAATCTATTAGTGGTGCAGGCTTGAGTTTTGACAGCTTGTTCGCCTGTACAGTAAGTAACAAGAGTCAGGCCACAGCAGAAGAAAAGTCTGTGCATGAGAATGTCAAGAACCTAATAATCCAACATTTCATAAATCATCTCAAACTTGCTTCATCTTTTTATTACCACATGACGGACTAATTGTACTCTAGATAATGATTGTTTACTTCTCATCACTCCATAGTTGATCCTTCGTATGAAGTTTGTATGCCCGCACGGTAGGTAAATCCAGGACTTATGCTACACATGTATGCATGAACACTACTTTGTCATTCATTTTAGTGTTATCTTGTACGTTCCAGCGCATGGGTTGTGGATTTTTCATCAAAGTTGCTTTTATTATTAGTCGTGTCGTTTCATTGTTTCATGAGTCTCCAAGAATTTGATATGGTGGTTTGGTTGGTTTGACGTCGTACAATAATACGAAAGTGCACATTCAGTGGATTCTTCACCACCAGAAAGCTCGAGATGGAGACGCGATGACGGGTCGTGGACATCAAAGTATTCGATGCATGCCAAGCGCATATATCCACTCTGGCTTACTGTTGTGGTCACTTGTCATATAACTCATACTCCCCACAAAACAGTTTACTCCGCTATTAAATTCTTTCTTCCTTGAAATTAATGCATTTTCCTGAAACCAGAAAAGTCTTGGGTTAAGACAATGGCAGTAATAAGGAATAGCGCAGAAGCGGCAGGAGTAGGGCACAGATTTCTTCCATGGCGTATGTATTCCTGTGCGGAATTGGTCTTAATTTGTTTGAGGGGAGAAAGAGTTCATTAGGAGAGAGAAGGACTTGGGTGAGTGACTGGGCCCTGAAAGTAGGATGGGATGAAGTAGAGCCCTTGGATTGGTTTGGAGGGAGAAGGTAAGTCTTGTCTTGTTAACGAACTGATTTACTTACTCTGCTCTTCCTTGCCCATCCACCTGTCATTATCTCTCTCATCTTCCCTTCAGTTTAATTTAATTCATTTTGACCCCGTGTAATGAACATCTTTTCGCCGCTTGTCAATTACAATTTTACCTTTCTCATGTACAACGACACGGTAATCGTATTATGCGCACTTTCTCGTCCTATTTTAAATCAGTTCATCACAAGACATGTGTAAATATTCGTAGTAAATACTCGTAAATATTCTGCTAAAAATTCTATTCATGTGAATGTATGTACATGCATGCCTAAAATGATGAAGTAGCGGTGGGAGACGTTTTTTCACACAGAATTTGCTTACTTTATGAATGAGAAACATCTTTGAGATGATCAGTTAAATAAGTAAGTAGTAAATCTTTCGTCCCATTACAGATTATATTAAGATACTCTTATTGCAAAAAGAGTACACAACAAGACGTACGCATATTTCATGTAGGTTGGGTTTGTAAGAGCATGAGACAAAGAAACTCGACAATAAATATACATACATATGTAACCACAACGGGTAGATGTTTTTAACCGCAAACAGTTATTACATATTATTCCATGTGCTTTATTTAAACCTCGACATAGTTTGATATCAATTTAAATACTGCTGCTTCAGCCTCATCGTGTATGTAAAAAAGAATACTGTTTGATTGGAGTTATGTGCTCTATTATTATTACTGTGGACGAAACGACGCGTCCATATTGTGAGATCCACAGGTTCTCGTCGTCGACCGTCTGAGTCCTGATGTGATGTTATCATATCGAGGTTGGCTGGGGTCGACTGGAGATGAGAATGGAAATGAGGATATGCGATTTCATAGCAGCAGGGATCTATCATCTCCTCCTCGACACAGCACCAACAACCAAAAGGTGCGGTTGGCTGGGTCCTCGATTTCAAATCATTTCAAGCACACACAAACAATAAAACATATTTACTCAAATTTGCTGGTCATTGAATAAAACAAATATAAACAACACAAAAGGATGATAAGTCCCCACTCGACTGATTTACCTAAGATACTATGAATCTCATTCTTTCCATACATAGCTGAAGAAGAAAAAAATTGCTTTTTCGTGAAAATTTTCTTGCTCAAAATAATTTTGCAATTGTAATGAGCCAAACATTCAAATTCGTACAACCACTTTTTCGTGAAGCCTCCATCTACATACAAATATATTAAAAGCTAAACACATTGTAAAATGTTTGAATTACTGTAATTGCTTTGAAAAAACTCCATGGGTGCCTTCAATTATGGTTTTCGATGGACGATGACACGTATGAAAAATGATCTCCACGAGTTGAAATGGTCAATATGATGGTCAACGTCAGTCCAGGGGACTTATTAAAAGGTTTCAACTTGGCGTATTGTTACCACGGCATATGTACATTTAGGACTTGTTGTTTCTCCATTTGATGACTTGATGTTCAAGTTTGCTGACTACACGTTATTCCAGAATTAGTAACGACCACCTAAGATGTTGATGGAATAAATCATCACTGGAAATAAAATTCATCTCCTGTCCCGCCCGTGGTCCTCTTACTTTTAACAAGATTCATTCATATCCTTCGCCTTCTTCTCGTGGGCTACTACTGCTACACACCAATAATAATACAAATAAAGAAGGAAGGAACACACTGCACAGCACGGCGTTGAAACTGATAATGGTTGTGGGTTGGAGCAGATCGTAAACGTATGAAACGCATGATGCCACTTAAATGGTTTATGATGGGTGTCCTAGCCTATTATTAGGTGTTTATTGTTTAAATGCTGAGCAGTAGTGATGTTTTAAATCTTCAATACATTTATCTGCCATACCGTCGTGTTCGTGTTCTTTAATTGTTTACAGACGTCAATGGATGTAATTGATATGCAGTGCTGATATTTTCTGGCAACCAATTCCATCCTGATGTGTATACCTCTATATTCGAATGCATTTTATAAAGATGATAGAAAAAGTGTCCGTAAGAACAGGAGTTGCATGGACAATTACATGTTTCACTCAAGCTGTGGACGTATAAATTGCTCTGTTTTTTTTCAAGTGAGTATTCCAGAATCTTGACAAATGTTCGGCTAATAATAATGACGATATGTAATAATAATACGTATAAAGTTTCCCATGCATATGTTCGTCGACTTGCTGCATTTCCCTTGTTGGGCTGCAGATGGACATTAAGATATTGAGCCCGTCCTGCTAACAAGTGTTGGCAGTGTGTGCAAGTCTAATTAATACAAACTTTAAGGAGCTGTTGAGGCTGATAACCAATAGACGAATAACAAGGCTCATCCATCATTGACTTTTTCTCCAATTATCACAAAATTATCTCTT